CACGGTCGCTGACCTCATCGCCAAGGACCCCTCCAAGTTCACAGGTGGGTGCTGGTGCTGCTAGTGTGTGTTTGGGGCCCTCCCAGTTCACATGTTGCCACCGCTGCTGCCTTCTGCCTGCTGCGTGCTGCCTCGCTGCCTGCCACCAGCACCACCACGGTGACCTCATTGCCAAGGACCCCTCCAGGTTCACAGGTGGGTAGTGGTGGTGGGTGGTGGCGGTGGTGGTGCCGCTGGTGGGTGGTGGTACTGTAGTACCGCCTAGTTATATGTCTGGTGCGGGGCCACTTTGAAGAAATGTCACCATACTTGCCAAACTTTTCACCAATGCCCCCCCTTTTCCCCCTCCTTTTCCATGCTCGGAGGCGCGCATCCGTGATGATGCGTGTTTTTTTAGAATTCTCAAAAAACACGCTTTTCCATGCTCGGAGGGGAGCATCCGTGACGATGACATGCCACTGACCAACTTCGCCGTCGCCTACAAGGGCGCCAGCTGATCTGCTGACTTGAATTCCCCCTCTCCGCTTCCACTCCAACCCACCCCACCCATCGCCTTCCTTCTCTCCCACAGGTTCCGAGGCACGCATCCGAGATGACGACATGCCGCTGACCACCTTCGCCATCGCCTACAAGGGCGCCAGCTGGACTGCCGTCTCAACTCAACAACTCCCTCCCCTCCCACCCGCCCACACCCCTCTCCTCACACCACACCACACCATACCCCTCTCCTCACAATACACCCCTACTTCTTCCAGGTCTTGAGGTGCGCATCCGTGATGACGACATGCCGCTGACCAACTTCCATCGCCTACAAGGGCGCAAGCTGGACCATTTGGGTGTCCTTTACCCCTCCTTGTCTCACCCTGACCCGCCTGCTCGCCCGTTCCCTTTTCCCCTCTCTCAGGTTCCGAGGTGCGCATTCGTGACGACGACATGCCGCTGACCAACTTCGCCATCGCCTACAAGGGCGCCAGCTGGACGGACCCGGACGCCGTGGCGCTGCAGATCATGCAGACCATGCTGGGGTCGTGGAGCCGCGGGGCTGGCGGGGGCAACGCGCTGGGGTAAGAGACATACATCGAGGTGGTATGGTTACCCTATGATGGTATTACGAGCAGTAGCCCAGCTGGACGGACCCCGATGCCGTGGCGCTGCAGATCATGCAGACCATGCTGGGGTCGTGGAGCCGCGGGGCGGGCGGAGGGAATGCTCTGGGGTTAGAAGAACGGTGTGGGAGGGGGGTCGCTGTGGGAGGGGGGTCGCTGTGGGAGGGGGGTCGCTGTAAGAGGGGGGTGAGAACGGGATGCTGTGGGGTGGGGGCGCTGTGGCGCGGCAGGGCATGCAGAGTGCCGGGAGGGGGAGCGCACCCGTGAGCAGTAATGAGGAGTGATGGGTGGCGGTTTCAAAGGTACTTGGAAAAGCGTAATCACGGCAGCCATGCTGTGGTCGTTGAGCCTTGGGGCGGGACTGGGAGGGGTCCGGGGGGCGCACTGGGGGGCGCATTGGGAGGGTTTAGCTGGACGGGATTCAGTTGGTACGTAGAAGCGTGATTGGTGTGTGATGAGTAGCACCCGTCCCTCCCCTCGCCCCATCCCCTCGCCCCATCCCCTCGCCCCATCTCCTCGCCCCATCCCATCGCCCCATCCCTTCAGATCCGAGTTGGCACAGAAGGTAGCGGCCAACAGCCTGTGTGAGCGATTCATGGCGTTCAACACCAACCGCTTCCTTTCCAGTCTCACTGTGTCTGCTGTCTGTGTCTCTGCCCCTGCTCCCCCTCTACCCCTTCTCCCCTCAGTTCCGAGTTGGCACAGAAGGTAGCGGCCAACAGCCTGTGTGAGCGATTCATGGCGTTCAACACCAACCGCTTCCTTTCCAGTCTCACTGTGTCTGCTGTCTGTGTCTCTGCCCCTGCTCCCCCTCTACCCCTTCTCCCCTCAGTTCCGAGTTGGCACAGAAGGTAGCGGCCAACAGCCTGTGTGAGCGATTCATGGCGTTCAACACCAACTACTCGGACACAGGGCTCTTTGGGGTCTATGCCTGCGCCAAGGTGGGTTCGCATGGGCTGGGTTGGGTTGGGTTGAATTGGGTTGGGTTGGGTTGGGTTTGGTTGGGTTGGGTTGGGTTGGGTTGGGTTGGGTTGGGTTGGGTTGGGTTGGGTTGGGTTGGGTTGCGTACTGTTACTGTGCGAGCAATTCATGACTTTCAAATTCAACTACTCGCAAGGTGGGAAGGTGGGAAGGTGTGCGATGCTGCTCGCAATGCAATGCACTGTGTTACAAATTATGACATTCTTTTCGGCGCCTATGCGTGTACAAAGGAGGGATTCCCCCACCGCCCACATTATCTCCTCTGCTGGAGGGGTTCCTTTAGGCATACCTCCCTCATGTTCCTTTAATGCTTTCGTCATTCATGCTCCCTCATGTTCACTTGCTCATTTTCATTGCATTCCCATGCATGCAAACAGCCCGACCATCTGGACGACCTCGCGTGGGCCATGATGCATGAGATCACGCGCCTCGTCTACCGTGTCTCAGATGATGACGTCACCCGCGCTGGCAATGCGGTAAGTGCCACGTTAGCATGTTGTCGATGTGATGTCAGCATGGTTATCAGCCGTTTGAGTTGGCATGCTGTGGCCGTCCAATCCCGAAGAGCCTCTTTCTCACTCTGCCCATCGAATGTTGCCTCTCCCCAATATATACCCCATCCACCACCCACTTCTTCTGCCCAATCCAACCCAACCTACCTGAACCCACCCCAACCCAACCGCACAGCTGAAGGCCTCCCTGGCGCTGCATCTGGACGGCTCGAGTGCAGTGGCGGAGGACATAGGGCGGCAGCTCATCACACTTACTCACACATGTGCACCCCTCTCCACCCCTCTCCACCCACCGCACAGCTGAAGTCCTCCCTTGCACTGCATCTGGACGGCTCGAGTGCAGTGGCGGAGGACATAGGGCGGCAGCTCATCACACTTACTCACACATGTGCACCCCTCTCCACCCCTCTCCACCCACCGCACAGCTGAAGTCCTCCCTTGCACTGCATCTGGACGGCTCGAGTGCAGTGGCGGAGGACATAGGGCGGCAGCTCATCACACTTACTCACACATGTGCACCCCTCTCCACCCCTCTCCACCCACCGCACAGCTGAAGTCCTCCCTTGCACTGCATCTGGACGGCTCGAGTGCAGTGGCGGAGGACATTGGGCGGCAGCTCATCACATACGGTCGGCGCATCCCCCTGGCTGAGATGTTTTCTCGTATCGACGCTGTGGACGCTGACACGGTGAAGCGCGTTGCAGAGCGGTTCCTGCTGGACAGGGTGAGAAGTGGGATGGGTAGTGATGGGTGATGATGGTAGTGGGGGGTGTGCTGATTATACACGGGCGGTGCATCCCCTCCCCTCGCCAAGATGTTTGTGTGCCTCCATGCGGTGGGGGATGAGACGGTGAAGCGCGTTGCAGAGCGGTTCCTGCTGGACAGGGTGAGAAGTGTGATGGGTAATGAAGGTGGGAGTAGGAGCGTGTGTGCTGAGTATGGTTGCTTTCAAAGACTCTCTAAAACATCAATGCCATCGGATGGGCACTGAGACAGTGAACCACGTGGCAGAGCTGGCCCTTTCTGAAAAGCTGACAGCCAGTTCCTCCCACGCGCAGTTCCTCCCTCGCGCAGTTCCTTTCACGAGTAGTTCCTTCCACGCTGCGACTGCCTACCACAGTCCCTAACGCAGCGCCTCCTCCTCTCCCCCCATTTATATCCCTCAACAGGACGTGGCAGTGGCAGCTATCGGCCCGACGCAGTTCCTCCCAGGCTACAACTGGCTGCACCATTCACTCACATGCCTAGTCTCGCCACTCGCTGCTTCCCATACCCCTACTTTTCTTTCCTGCACTTCTCACCTGCAACAGGACGTGGCAGTGGCAGCTATCGGCCCGACGCAGTTCCTCCCAGACTACAACTGGCTGCGCCGTCGCACTTTCTGGCTGCGATACTAAGTGCTGCTGCACTTGATGTTTCCACACTGGGTGTTGCACACTGTTGGTGCTATGCTAAGCGTTGCACTTAGTGAGCTCCAAGCATGGTCCCGGCCCTTGGTCCTTCTGGCATTATGGTCCCCATCTGCTGCTGCGTGGTTTCACCGGCTGCTGTGAGAATGAATTAAGGATCAGTTCAGTTGCTGCAATGCAATCAGTATCCCTCGGTGACAACTGACTGCTGTCACTGCTGCTGCTGCTGCTGCTGCTGCTGCTGCTGCTGCTGTTGCTGATGCTGCTGCTGCTGCTGCTAGATCATATTGCCATTGGTTGTTTGTGTTGTGTAACAAACCTGCCTAATGGCTAATACAAGCATCAGTAAGGTAGTTACCTAACAGTGCCAGTCTCAGGTGGGACTGCTCTTTGTTTCATTTCATGTGTCCGCTTCATTTGGTAACTTAGGCTGTCACATACTGGCAAGGTTTCGGAATACCGTACGTGTATTGTAGGTTGTGTTTATAGTCATACTGAACGAGTGCTAGACCAGATTGCGAGCCCAACCCATCCAAGCCAAAGCATGGTACTGTACCGTATATGTTTTTGTCGTTCCATAGTGACAAAACAATTGTCATCTTCTAATCCCATTCTCCGGCGACACAACAGTACATAAAGCAGTGAATTGTGGTTCTCTTGTCTACGCAACGCAATGCGCCCTCAGTAAATTGTGGTATATTTGTTGCTGCCATTGGTGGTGGCGGTGGTGGTGGGAGGGAAGGTAGTGCACCAAAACAGGTGGTAACTCTAATGCTGCTGCAGCTTTTGGTGGTGGTGGGAGCGCAGCACAGTGCACCAAAACAGGTGGTAATAACAATAATGTTGCTGCTAATACAGTAGTGGTGGGTGGTGGTGGTGGAATGGCGGATTCTCCGCCAATCATTTCAGTGCCGGCGCCGCGAACTCTGAAGGATCAAGGAACCTTGCTGCTGTGGTGACGACCCAAAACACACCTGCAGCTGCTAGTGGTGCTAGTGGTGGTGGTGGGAGGGTGGACTCTCCACCAACCTTTTCAGTGCTGCAAACTCGGGCTCATCAAGAAACGCTGCCATTTCTTCCAGAGCGGCGTCTTTTGTTGGCTTGTGAGGTGCATGGGCCAGCGCTGCCACCACCTTGGCACTGAAAACAAAATGAGCGGGGAAAAAGACAACAGAGGAGAGACAGAAAGGAGGATGGGATCAAAGAGTAGAGGAAGGGAAAGAAGAAGAAAGAAATGGAAAAAAGGGGAGACAAACTTGAGGGGTCATGGAAAAGAGAAACGAGAAAGAACAATAATTTTGCGCTCAAAAAAATGTGCTCTCTCTCTCTCTCTCTCTCTCTCTCTCACCTGTGTCCTGTGCCCCACTCCCTGCATCGTCTTCGCAGTGCCTCTCGCCACAACACGGCACAAAAAGGCTCCACTTCCTCTTCCCCTACTGCTTCTTCCTCTTCTGACTTTGCTGTTTCTGCTTCTCCCTCTGCCGCTGCAGCTAGCCTCCCTTCATCAGCCACCAGGCGCTTGATCACTCTGCTCCCAAAAAAGTCCTCCAACACGTGGCTCGGCTGCTGCTCCTCTTCCTCTCCACCCTCCGCCTTCTCCTCTCCCGCTTCTGCCTCCTCACCCTCATCTTCCTTCTCCTCCTTCTGCCCCTCCTTGCTCTTCATCTTCCCCTTTTTGCCCTTCTTTCCTTTCTCGCTCTTGGCTTTCCCAGCAGCGGCAGCAGCAGCAGGGGGACAGGGGGCAGCAGCTGCGGCAGCGATGGCAGAGTGCAGGGCGGAAAGGAGTGAGGGGTGGTGCAGGGCGAGCAGAGAGGAGTCCCCTCCTCGAGCAAGCTGGGGGGTACGGATGGGGGAAGGAAGGAAAGGGGAAAGACGCGCAGTGTCGTCACAGGAATGAGAAGAAGTAGTGGTAGCAGCGGCAATGGCAGAGTGCAGACCGGAGAGGAGTGAGGGGTGGTGGAGGGCGAGCAGAGAAGAGTCCCCTCCTCGAGCAAGCTGGAGAGAGTGGGACAAGGAGAGGAGTGAGAATACAGAGACCATATGAGATTGCTTCAACGCGTCATTTTTGAGGCGCCTCATTTTCAACGCGTCATTTTTTAGGCGCCTCATTTTCAACGCGTCATTTTTGAGGCGCCTCATTTTCAACGCGTCATTTTTTACCCTTGGGCTCTAGAATACAGAGACCATATGAGATTGCTTCAACGCGTCATGGAGCTCACAGATGCAACGCACACAGCACACGTGCCACAGGTGCAAGTGTTTCAGCGGACAATACCTCGTAGATGACATCGCAGGCGAACTGAGACGTCAGCATGGCTCCTGCATGCTCTGTTGCCAACTTGAGCATCTCCTGTTGGATTGGGGTTCCAAAGCAGCACACACACACACGCACGCACGCACACACACACACACACACGCACGCACGCACACACACACACACACACACACACACACACACACACACACGCGCGCGCGCGCGCACGCACGCACGCGCGCACACACACACACACAAGAAGCACAACGCAGCACACACGACGAAGAAGCAGCGCAGGGAAATGAAGTTCAAGACGAAGCACCAACAGCAAGCATCGCAGCTGAGTAATTCAAGGGTTTTATCCCATCCTATCTAACCCCATCCCACCACTCCTTCCTCCCTGCTCACCTCTGCCAGCCCTGAATCCACCAAAAGCTTCCTCCTCTTTGAAAGCGACCGAGACCCCCGCCCTCCCTCCCCCTCCTCCTCCTCCCCCTCCTCTTCCTCCTCGTCATCATCACTATCATCCATTGCTGCTGCTGCTGCTGCTGCTGCTCCCGCCTTTCTCTTCTTGCCATCCAGCTTCTTCCCCTTCTTCTTCCCAGGCTTGACTGTTTTCTCTCCTTCCTCCTCCTCCCCTTCCTCTCCCTCCTCGCCCTCTTCTCCTTCCTCTCCTTCCTCTCCTTCCTCCCCTTCCTCCCCTTCCTCCCCTTCTTCTCCTTCATCTCCCTCATCCTCCCCTTCTTCACCCTCTCCCTCATCCTCCTCTCCTTCCTCCTCCTCATCTTCCTCTCCCATCGCAACTCCCTCCCCTTCCTCCTCCTCCCCCTCCTCCTCTCCATCTTCCCCTCCTACCATCATTCCCTCCTGCCCCTTACCATCCTGTTCCTCCCCTTCCTCTCCCTCCTCCCCCTCCCCCTCCTCCTCCCCCTCCTCCTCCCTCCTCCTCCCCCTCCTCCTCCTCCACTCTGCCGCCCACCACAACGGCCTGGGCGGCATCGGGCGGCAGGTAGCGGTGGGAGGAGGGCGCCAGCACAACGGCCTGGGCGGCATCGGGCGGCAGGTAGCGGTGGGAGGAGGGCGCCAGCAGCTGCAGGAGAAACCGGCGGCCAATGCGCTCCTGCATCACCTCGAACAGGTCCTTCATCAGTTCCTTGATCACGAACTGGAGTGGGACAGAGGGGGCAAGGGCGGAAAGGGGGAGATAAGATGCCAGCAGCTGCAGCACCTGAGGCAAACGAGGCTGGTGTTAGATGGCCGACCCGCACGCTCCTGCATCACCTCAAAGAGGTCCTTCATCAATTCCTTGATCACGAACTGGAGTGAGACGTGGGGGGGAAGGGAAGGAAGGAGGGCAAAAAAGGTTGGCATTAGGATCCTCAATCCTCAAACAGCACTAGAGGGGACAAACACGAAAGCAGGGGGAGGGGAAGGCTACGTCGTGGACTCGAGGAGCTGCAGCAGCAGCAGTTGGCTGTGGTTGTCACATGCCACCCGCACCACATCGTGCTACATCATGCCAATGTTCAAGCCGTTGCAGTTGCAGTTGCAGGTGCAGCAGCAGCAGTTGGCTGTGGTTGTCACATGCCACCCGCACCACATCGTGCTACATCATGCCAATGTTCAAGCAGTTGCAGTTGCAGTTGCAGGTGCAGCAGCAGCAGTTGGCTGTGGTTGTCACATGCCACCCGCACCACATCGTGCTACATCATGCCAATGTTCAAGCAGTTGCAGTTGCAGTTGCAGGTGCAGCAGCAGCAGTTGGCTGTGGTTGTCACATGCCACCCGCACCACATCGTGCTACATCATGCCAATGTTCAAGCAGTTGCAGTTGCAGGTGCAGTTGCAGGTGCAGCAGCAGCAGTTGGCTGTGGTTGTCACATGCCACCCGCACCACATCGTGCTACGTCATGCCAATGTTCAAGCAGTTGCAGTTGCAGTTGCAGGTGCAGCAGCAGCAGTTGGCTGTGGTTGTCACATGCCACCCGCACCACATCGTGCTACATCATGCCAATGTTCAAGCAGTTGCAGTTGCAGTTGCAGGTGCAGCAGCAGCAGTTGGCTGTGGTTGTCACATGCCACCCGCACCACATCGTGCTACATCATGCCAATGTTCAAGCAGTTGCAGGTGCAGTTGCAGGTGCAGCAGCAGCAGTTGGCTGTGGTTGTCACATGCCACCCGCACCACATCGTGCTACATCATGCCAATGTTCAAGCAGTTGCAGTTGCAGTTGCAGGTGCAGCAGCAGCAGTTGGCTGTGGTTGTCACATGCCACCCGCACCACATCGTGCTACATCATGCCAATGTTCAAGCAGTTGCAGTTGCAGTTGCAGGTGCAGCAGCAGCAGTTGGCTGTGGTTGTCACATGCCACCCGCACCACCACCCACTTGAGTGCCTTTGCCACCCGCCGCACCTCCACACTGCTTCACAGAAAATATGTTTGGTTGATAGGGCTACTTTTGAGTCGACTCAAAACAAGGCCCGCCGCACTTCCACCCTGTTCCACGAAATACATACCCGGTTGATAGGGCCGGAAGAGGCAGACTCAAGCAGCTGCAGCAGCAGCAGGTGGCCGTGGTCGTCACACATCACTCGCGCCACCACCCCCTTGAGTGCCTTTGCCACCCGCCTAATCTCCTGCCGTTTGCACACACATGCCATGCCATGCCGCGCCATGCCACGCCATGCGAGGCAAAAAAGGACATCCCATTCCACGTCATGCCATCAAAGCCAGGCCATGCCACAAGACATACAGGACAGGTCATGCCATGTCATGCCACATTCCAGGGAGCAAATGCAAAGTGAAAAAAGATGCATCAGTTGGTTGCGAAGATCAAAGATTGTGAGTTTTTTTCGCATGTCACAGTACTAAAACGAATCTCTTATCAGCACAGGTTGCGTTTCCTCACCTTGGGAGTTGCTTGAGCCACCATGATATTGGCAATCCTGACCCCGTCCCGCGTGTGCACCATGCGCAGCAGCGTCAGGGACTTATGACGGGCAGAAGCAGCAGCAGGACTTACCCCGCATGGCATGTGCTTGCTCCCCTTGGGAATTGCTTGAGCCACCATGGTATTGGCGATCCTGAACCCGTCCCGTGTGTGCACCATGCGCAGCAGCAAGAAAAAAAAAAAGAAGAAGAAGAAGAAGAAGAAGAAAAAAAAAAAAAAAAAGCTTCACCTAGAAAGTCTCCTGCATGGCATTTGGTCGCTCACCTTGGGAGTAGCTTGTGCCACCATGGCATTCGCAATCCTGACCCCATCCCGCGTGTGCACCATGCGCAGCAGCAGCGCTCCCATCAGCTGCTGTCGCACCTCCGCCACCTCCCTCTGCAGTCGGAGCCAGACCAAACAGAAAGGGAAAGGAAAGCGGGAAAGGGCATAAGGGGAAAGGAAGGCGAGAGGTTGGCTCCATGCCGTGCTGTCAGAGGGGGGCTCAGCGAGCAGTTTTCTCCCATGGACCCAACCCGACGGGGGGGCCGAGGGGAAGGAAGAGAACTGGCTCACTTTGGTCCCACGCCAATCACACTTGCACTTGTCACGGGCCGCCCTGCCTTACCTTGGAAAAATACTCCCAGACAGTCCGCTAGAACACGGTGGGAACAATGAATGGTCCACGATGCCCTTCTTGAGAATCGGCTGCAGCGAAGCCTCCAGGTGCTGCAGCACTGATTGGCTAGAGAGGTGCCCCAAACCCACAGACAGAGCCACCCAACCATACCTTGGAGATGACTCCCAAATAATCTGATACTGATAGCATCCTGTGGAACAGCAAATGATCCACTATGCCTTTCTCCAAAATGGGCTGCAGGGAGGTTTCTAAATGCTGCAGCACGGACTGCTGGGAGGTGCTCTCCCAACCCACAGACAGACCCACCCAACCATACCTTGGAAATGACTCTCAGGTAGTCTGCTAACACGCGGTGGAACAGCGAGTGGTCCACGATGCCCTTCTCGAGAATCGGCTGCAGGGAGGTTTCCAAGTGCTGCAGCACGGACTGCCTTGAGGTGCCCGAGGGGAGGTTGGCCAGCAGGTCGGCGAGGCGCCCGGCTCCCGGCAGGCCCTACCTAGTTCAGGCGTTACCTACCTGCACACCTCCCAGCACTACAACTACAAGCATCCATGTCAAGGGCCGTCGTACCTTGGAGATGACTCCCAGGTAGTCAGCTAACACGCGGTGGAAGAGCGAATGGTCCACAATGCCTTTTTCTAAGATCGGCTGCAGGGAGGTTTCCAGGTGCTGCAGCACGGACTGTCGACTGGTGCCCGAGGGGAGGTTGGCCAGCAGGTCGGAAAGCCTTCCGGCGCCCGGCAGGGCGAGCGAGGGGAAGAGGCGGAAGTCCGGCGCAAAGAACTCGGATGCTAGGGCTGAGCGTTGGGCAGGGGGTGAGAGCTGGTAGGCGTGTTCTATGACTGTTGTGGGGGGGAAATAGGAAAGTGGGAGTGGAGGGAGGTAGGGAGGAAGGAGTGAGACAGCAAGGTGAGCGAGGGGAAGAGGCGGAAGTCCGGCGCAAGGAACTCGGATGCTAGGGCTGATCGCTGAGGTGGTGGGGAGAGGTGGTATGCGTGCTCTATGACTGGTGGTTGGTGTGGTTGGAAGGGGAGGGCGGTGGAGAAAGGGGGAGGGTGGGAGTGGGAGTAGGTGGGGCAGAGGGAAGGTGGGGGTGAGAGGGGAGTGCGAGTGACATGGTGGGGGCATGGTGGGGGCATGGTATGGCATGGTATGGGCATGGTGGGGGCATGGTATGGCATGGTATGGGCATGGTGGGGGGGCATGGTGGGCCTCAAACATCACTAGAGCGTCATGTGGTACAAATCATGGTGCACTAACAATGTTATGATGGTGTCAAAACATTGGCACAGCACCAGAACATACCGGCACTGGCGACAGGGTGCCGCATCATTTCCACCACATGCCCCCCAACGGGTCTGTGGCACTCGACTCGCATCACCCCCCTTTCCCCCAACCCCCCTCTTCCCCCCTCTTCCCCCCTATCATACCGGCACTGGCGACAGGGTGCCGCATCATTTCCACCACGTGCCCCCGCAGCTGCCCAACAATGTCATGCTTCTTCTCCTTGCTCGCTGCCAAGGGGTGTGCGGGGAGAAGGAGACAGAACCAAAGGAAAGGCTGCTATCGCTTTTGAGAGTTCTCACAACAAGTCATCATCATCATCATCATCATCTCGACCACGTAACCCCGCAGCTGCCCAACAATGTCATGCTTCTTCTCCTTGCTCGCTGCCACACGTGATGGGGGAGAAGGAGACACCGAAAAAAGGCACGGCAATGCGTAAAAAAGGGTTTTGAGACGTCTCAAGACACCCAAAAAGGCACGGCAAGTGCGTAAAACAGGCAAACAAAACAATCGCCCATCACTCACCATGGTCCATCATCCTGTTGACCAGGTGGTGAGCATAGGGATGCACAGCTAGCTCACAGCAGTGCGGGCGTAGCTCCGAAAACACGGCCTCCCGCTCCTCCTTGCGGCCGTGCTTGACACACATCTGCAGCACGCGAGACACGGTGTGTGATCGCGCCATCTCCACCATCTTCCCCTTCATCTTGCCTATCATCATTGTTACTAGCCTGGGAAGCGAAGGGGAAAGACGAGGGGATCAAGAGTGAATGCATCAAATCTTTCCCCAACTGATTAAAACGTCAACGCAAAGAATCCAATCTGGATGCCTGCACGCATGATGGGCCGTAGCGTGGTTCTTAACTTTTTTTAGCAACACGCACGCTCTCATGCACTCTCGGCACTCACTTGCGCTTCTTCTCCATATCGATGTACCTCTGCCGACTCTTCACTGTGCCACCCACGCCCCCACGCCACGCTCTCAGCACCCACATTAGAACCTGCTTCTTGGCATTAGCAGCACTCACGCTCGCAGCACTCACTCGCGTTTCTTCTCCATGTCAATGTTCCTCTGCCGACTCTTCACAGTGCCACACACACACTCACGCCATGCTCTCAGCACCCACATTAGAACCTGCTTAACATTAGCAGCACCCACGCACGCAGCACTCACGCATTGTCAGCACTCACTTGCGCTTCTTCTCCATATCGATGTTCCTCTGCCGACTCTTCTCCCACAACAGTGTCAACTCCTGGTGCAGTCAGGCATATATACACACACATGTACAGTCACACACACGTACAGTCACACGCATGATTGCAATCATCCACGCATTCAATCACACATGCACACATGGCAGTATCCAGCACAAACCGCATGAGACGACATACATACGCGCACATGGGAGGGCAAGTTCAGGCTATGGCATTTCACGGCATGGCATGGCATGGCATGGCATGGCATCGCATGGCATGGCATGGCATGGCATGGCATCGCATGGCATGGAGTGTGGCAGGACGTGGCAGGACGTGGCAGGACGTGGCAGGACGTGGCAGGACGTGGCAGGACGTGGCAGGACGTGGCAGGACGTGGGCATGAACAGACATGGTACTTCCCATGTACTTCCCATGGTTCCCTATCGTCCATCCTAAAAAGTGTTTTTCAGACGTCTCAAAAAATCCCTCTCTACACGTGGGCATGTACAGATATGGTACTTCCCACGTACTTCCCAAGGTTCCCTATCGCCCCATCCTAAAAGGTCTATCTGTCCCCTCCCCGAGCCTCACTCCTGCACCCATAAACCCAAACTCACACCTGGGCTGCACTCATGCACCCAGCCCGTTTGCTCCAAAACCCGCCTTCCATACATTTGGCACGTGCTAAGACCTTGTTTGTCTGAACGCGCCTTTTCCAGATCAAGGGTTTTAGGGTTTGGAGGGAGACATAAACCCCTGGCGCGCTAAACTCTTTCTGCGCTCACCTTCTCGAGATCAAAAAGCGGGCGGCGGCGCTTCTTCCGCGCCTCCGCCAACTCCTGCGCGGATAGGGGGAAGCGGGAAGAGGGAGAGGAAAAGAGGGGTGAGAGGGAGAGAGGGGGAGGAGGGGGAGCGGAGGTTGATGGATGGGCGAGGAAGAAGCGTGAGTGCTATATGAGGGGAGGGGGTGCGAGAGGGAAGAAAGGAGAAGGCGCGGGAGATTTTAGCAAAAAAGAGAGGTTTACAAGAGGAAAGGGGTTTCCGGGAGGGACGGGGTTTAAGGGAGTGACTGGGATAGAAGGTTCAAGTGAAATGCGTTGAATGCCGAGTTGTTGATAATATCAAGGTTAAAGCCGAATGCCTTGAATGCCCTTACACGCACCTTCCGCTGTTTCCTATCCAACGGTCCGCTAGGCGCACTTTCCCCTCTTCCTCCCCCTCGTCTCCGTCCGCCGCCCCGCCCTCCGCCCCGTCCCCCGTCCCTCCCGCGCCCGCCTCCCCTCCCCCACCCTCGCCCGCGCGCGCCTCCCCCTCCGCCCTCGCCGGAACCTCCGTCTGCGCCTTCAAACTTGCGCTTTCTCGAATCGCCCGGGCTGGCGCTCCCACCGCGCCCAATCGCTCCGCCAGATGCGCCCTGCTGTCTTCCCCATTCCCCCCTTCCTCCGCCTCTTCCCCCCCTCTCGTCACCTCTTCCGCGTCTGCCTCCCCAGCCTCCCCCTCGTCTTCCCCCCGCTCCATCCGATCCCCGCCCGGCCCCGCCCCCCGAACCTGAACCTCCCCAACCTCCCTTATACCCTGAACCTTGCGAGTCCCTTGAACCTCCAAATGATCCGCTAAACCCTCGACCGCCTCGCCCGCCAGTTCCGCCTCGCCCGCCACTTCCGCCTCCTCCGCCACTTCCACCTCTTCCGCCTCTTCCGCGGCCTCCGCCGCGAGGGTTTCCCCCCCAACTATCTGCCATAGGTCTAGGTGCTTCCGTAGTTCAGTTCAAATGAGAAGTATTTGGAGCACTGCCGTGGATATTGATTGGAGATTTGGGGGGCTTGTCGTTCAAGATCAGTTGCGAAATGCCAGCTGGTAGCAGTGTAGGGGGTACAAGATTTCTCGCAGTGAAGGTCTGATACGGGTACTACAATTTGTAAATTGTAATTTGGAGCAAGTTTTGCAAGTGTACGGTGTCATTCGGTGTTATACTTTCACAACCCGATCTTTCGTTACTGTGTCTGAACGCGCTCTGATTGGTGTGCTGACAGCACAATCACGAAATCTACCATCGCAGTCTCCCCAATTCGTCGACTTTCCCACCACGTCAAACAAACCGAGCCCTGCATGGATAATCGCGCTGGTTCTCGCCGTTGATTGGCTGGTCCCCTTGGACATTTCGTAACATTTCCTTGCTGACAAAGATCCATTGAGCATCGCAGCCGTTCGAAAAAACATCGGAGGGTTTATATTCACCCGCATGAGCTTCCTCACACTTTCTCTTTCCGCTAATGTTGCCAACATCCCTGCGATTCGCGCCAAACCGCTATTTCTTCACAAGCCACCACCAACCCTCTCCCACCAGACTCACCCTCGCCTCACCTCGCCTGCCACCAGCGCAGAAAGCCGTTGGCAGAGAACGCACCGTAACTCAACGAGATATAACACGCGAAATCGTATCCAAACGCACAAAACTCCTTACTACTATTATAACCAACAGCAGCAACATCACCCAGCACCATTTTGCACTGGAACGCAAAGCGGGCGTCACTGGAGAGATTACTCCACACAAAGTATATTACAAATCAGCAGCTGATCTATTTCGGCCCGTAGCGGTAGCAGCTAACTACGCGGAACAACCTAAAAAAAACAGCCTCTAGCTCCATAATCTCTCGAAAATTCGTTGTCTTGTGTTTTCAAGCTCCTTTCTAAAGTTCTTTCCACTACTAGCTGGCTCGTAGTAACGATTACTCCAAGGTCTTTTCCGGCAATGGCCACGGCACTCGTACCATCAACACCTGCGACGCTTTCGCCAACAAACTTCGCCGACCTATCAGAGGACGTGCTTCTTTACCTGCTTTCCCGTCCATCCTCCGACCCGAACCGCGAGCTTTCCCCGGAGGACCTCGCGCGGCTCGAGGCGGTCTGTTACACCCTCCGCCGCCCGCTGCTTCTCCCCCCGAATCGCCGCCACTCCGTCGTCGAAACCGCCGCGCGCGCACGATGCTTGCGCCACCCGCTTCTGGCGCGCGTGCCAGCGGACCTCCTGCGCGGAATGGCGGCGCAGCGGTGCGGCGGAAGCTGGCTGCGCGTGCTGCGCTTCGCATGGGCGGTGGAGGACGCCTGGGGGTTGCGGCGAGAAGCGGAGGAAGAGGCGCTGCGAGGGAGAACCCGCGCGCCGAGCGCCGGCGCGCGGAACTCTGGCGAGCTGGCTTCAGCAGTTTACGCGGGCGATTACTGTTCATTCCAAATAAAGACAAACGGCGAGCTGTGGGTGTATGGCTCAGGTTCGCGAGACGGCTCTCCCCAGTTCACCCTTCCCCCAGCCTCAAATCAACCTCCCCGAGATCAGCCCGCCCCAGTCACTGCCCCGGATCAACCTCCCCCGAATGAACCTGCCCAGGCGAGAGACGAGAACCAGGCGGCAGGTCAAGGGTGGGCGGCTGCCGCCCTTGCTGCCGGCCTGGCTGCCGTCCGACTCGGAACCGGGCAAGCCGGCACTGCCGCACAATCAGGCTCGGAAAGGCAAGACGCTCAGGCGCAGCAGCAGGCGCAGCGGCAGGCGCAGCAGCGGAGGGGAGGGGCGCGGGGGCGGAGGGGGGCTCTGAGGGCGCAAATCGTGGTGGGGGGAAGCGCGGACGCGGAGGGGAATGGGGGGAACGGGGGAAACGGGGGAGATGGGGGAAACGGGGCGAGCAGGGAGGAGGCTGAGTGCGTTATTGGGGATAGAGTGGCGCAAGTGGCGGGGGGGAGAGCCTTCACTGTGATACTAACGAAGTCCGGGGACGTTTACACTATGGGACAGGACACTAACGGGTGCTGTGGGCACGGGCAGGACGGGGTGGGTAAGAAATTCCCCCAGCCGAAATTAGTGGAGGCTTTAAGAGGCGTGCCCTGTCAGCAGGTCGCTACAGGGCGGAGCCATGTTCTGGTGCTGGCTAGGGATGGGACGGTGTATGCGTTTGGAGCGGGGGGCAACGGCCGGCTGGGCCTGGGAGATACGGACGACAGAAGCCAGCCGACGGCCGTGGAGGGCCTGCGGCCAGAGGTGCTGGCTGCCATGCTGGGCGGGTTGCCGGGCGGCAATCGTGGTGATATGGATGGCAACAACAACGGTACGGGTGGCAGCAGTGGCGATACGGGCGGCAACAACAACAAAAGGGGCGGCAGCAGCGCCACCACTAAGAGCAGCAGCAGCAGCAGCAGCAGCAGCAGCAGCAGCAGCAGCAGCAGCAGCAGCAGCAGCAGCAGCAGCAGCAGCAGCAGCAGTGAGCCGTACGGACAGTACCGCATAGTGAGTGTAGTAGCAGGCGCGAGTCACTCCCTGGCCGTGACTGCTGCGGGCGTGGTGCTGGCGTTTGGGCGCGGGCACAGCGGCCAGCTGGGGGGCGCGCAGGGCTGGGGGAGCTGGGCGGGGGGGGTGCAGGGCTGGGGGGAATGGGCGGGGGGAGTGCAGGGATTGGGGGATGAGAGGGGGGAAGGGATGAGGGGAGGCGGAGGAGGGGTGGGGGTGGGGCGCGTGCATGGACGAGCGGGGGGTGTGTCTAGAGGTGTGTCTAGATTGCATGTGGCCAGGCGTGCGGGAGGTGCTCCTATTGCTGCCGGCAGCGTTACTGCCAGTGCTGCTACTGAGGGCAGCGCTGCATCTGCCGCTGCAGGAGCCGCTGCTGCTACAGCTGCAGCAGTGGCGGCTGCTACAGCTGACCTGTCAGACTGCCTGGTGCCGCACCCCATAGCGTGGCTGGTGCGATCGGGCGTGCGTGTGATGAAGGTGGCAGCTTCGGTTGATTACTCCGCTGCCCTTGACTGCATGGGACGGGTGAGTGCACTCATGAGGTGTGAGAAGGTGTTAGGAGGTGTGAAGAGGTGTACTCACTGGTCATGACTGCCTGGTGCCACACCCCATAGCGTGGCTGGTACGATTGGGTGTGCGTGTGATGAAGGTGGCGGCTTCGGTTGATTACTCCGCTGCCCTTGACTGCATGGGACGGGTGAGTGCACTCATGAGGTGTGAGAAGGTGTTAGGAGGTGTGAAGAGGTGTACTCACTGGTCATGACTGCCTGGTGCCACACCCCATAGCGTGGCTGGTACGATTGGGTGTGAGTGTGATGAAGGTGGCGGCTTCGGTTGATTACTCCGCTGCTCTTGATTGCCTGGGAAGGGTGAGTGTGGAATACGAAGTATGGAGATTGATGAAGGTGCGAAGAGGTGTGAAGAGGTGTGAAGAGGTGCAAAGTGGTCTTTTCCGTTGAGGCGTCATTTCATTCAATCCATCTGGTCATTTAAGCTGTCTTGTTTGTGCATTCCCAACGCCCATCTGCTGCTTCTGCTGCGTTCCCCTTTGGCCTGTCTCGCTCTGCGTGTGGGCAGGTGCACATGTGGGGTTCGGGCTACTGTGGGTGTCTGGGCAACGGCAGCGAGGCCAATGAGGTGCTGCCACGTGTAGTGGAGGGGTTGTTGCACACACGGATAGTGCAGGTATGATTGGACCATCACAATGAATTTTGCGTTGGCTGATCACAATTGCTTATCACATTGGGCACGTTGCCTTATCACATCACATGTATTCCCAACGTCAAACCAGGTGGCTTCGGGAAAGCGCAAGACGTTAGCTCTGGTCTGGACGACCAAGGGCGGGTGCTGGCCTTTGTTTCTTAAGTCGACTCAAACGCCATTGTCTTATGTTTCCCTTGATGAATGCTCCTTTGCCTGATTTTCAGGTGACGCTGGGCAAGCGCAAGACACTAGCTCTAGATGACCAAGGGCGGGTGCTGGCCTTTGGGTGGACGGCGTTTGGAGGGCTGGGTGTGGCAGCAGGGCGAGACAAGGTGTTTGCTCCCATGCCTGTCGAGGCTCTGGAGGGGAAGCGAGTGGTGCAGGTGAGGATGGGCAGATGGGCGGATGGGCGGATGGGCGGATGGGCGGATGGGCGGATGGGCGGATGGGCGGATGGGCGGATGGGCGGATGGGCGGATGGGCGGATGGGCGGATGGGCGGGTGGATGGCACTTTGAAAGTGTCGCACAGATGTGGCGGCAGGATGAGACAAAGTGTTTGCTCCCATGCCGGTGGAGGCTTTGGAGGGGAAACGAGTTGTGCAGGTGAGCAATGCGGCTGGTTGGGGGCGGATGGGCAAATGACGCTTTGGAAGCGGCTCACAGGCCTGGTGGCAGGGCGACACACAGTGTTCGCTCCCATGACTCTCGAGGCTCTAGTTGGAATCACAGTGTTCAGCGTGATTCCGATTTCTGAAGTGCCTCAGTTACGAAACGGCCTGCGCGTGATGCATTTGAATTTGCTTTTGCTCGTTGTTGCAAGCAACCCGAACCCCCTTGCTTCGTCAGTGTGCTGAACAGAAGCAGTCTGGATATGTTTGCCTGGGTGTGTGCATTGCTACTCGACTATTAATGTACTCCCCGGTCGTGTGCGTGTGTGTGTTTCATGCAAGCAAGCAGATCAAAACAGGAGCCTATCATACCATTGCCCTGTGCCGTGAAGGTTTCCAGTCATCTAAAGAGTCGTTTGCCTTGTGCCTTGCGTTTGTGTGTTTCCATGTGCTTCATCCCGACAAGCAGATCAGCACGGGGGCCTACCACACTGTTGCCTTGTGCCGTGACGGCACCTGCATTGGCTTTGGGGACAACGAGCAGGGACAGCTGGAGCTGCACTGAAGGGTATCTGTTCTTTGTGGTCTGCTCTGCACTCAAAGCTGAGCTGCACTCAGGCCAAGTCACTTCTTACTGTGACAAGGATAGCGTATGTGGCAAGTACCAAAATGTTTATGAGTGTACAGTACTCAGAACGTGTATATGATCCGTTTATATCGTGTGAACTGCCCCGTTCGTGTATCTGGTTGCAATGAAAAACCCAATATCTAGTTGCACTCTTTCGAGACATAAGCGGTTATTATAGCTGAAAGGCAGCAGTAAAAGGTTCGAATAACCCTACCTACAGCAGTTGAGAAACAATCACTAGCTAGCATAATTTACGGTATCCAGAGAGTTGCATGCAAGAGTGCTGTAGAGATAGTGTCTGCAAAAAGCAGTGGTCGCTGCAGAGACTGTATCGGCAATAAGCAGTGGTTTTTTCAATAATAGGCAGAGGAGAGTGATTGCTTGCGGCGGGGCTTTTCCGGCCCTCCCCCCTGTTGCTGCCGCATCATGGCCGCAAACTCCTCGTAGTCAATCGTGCCGCTCTGATTTCACAAAATGGAAAGGTGGATGGGCAAGCAAAAGAATGTAAGGTAAAATCTCCAGTGGGCAGGGCAAGATTGCATCGCTAGCCCCATAACCACACGGGAAAAGAGAAATGCTCGCCCGGTCCGTAACCACTTGCTCAACCATTTGCTCGATACTCCCTGGCTCCAGCATGCCCTCAACTCAACCACACACCATCACGTTCAACCACCCTATACCGCTCATGCCCCTTCTCTCGGCGCACCTTATCCGTGTCCACTTGTTCGATGATCTGCTCGATATCCCCCGGCTCCAGCATGCCCTCATCCTCCAGCGCCTCCCGCAGCTCGCTCACCGTGATGGTGCTGGCAGGGTAAAGGACAAGGGGGTTGGGGGGCAGGATAACGAGGGAACAAAAGGGAGTTAGGCAGGTAAGGAAGAGCAGTTAGAAGGGCCTGCCTTGCGGCTCCAGCATGCCCTCATCCTCCAGCGCCTCCCGCAGCTCGCTCACCGTGATGGTGCTGGCAGGGTAAAGGACAAGGGGGTTGGGGGGCAGGATAACGAGGGAACAAAAGGGAGTTAGGCAGGTAAGGAAGAGCAGTTAGAAGGGCCTGCCTTGCGGCTCCAGCATGCCCTCATCCTCCAGCGCCTCCCGCAGCTCGCTCACCGTGATGGTGCTGGCAGGGTAAAGGACAAGGGGGTTGGGGGGCAGGATAACGAGGGAACAAAAGGGAGTTAGGCAGGTAAGGAAGAGCAGTTAGAAGGGCCTGCCTTGCGGCTCCAGCATGCCCTCATCCTCCAGCGCCTCCCGCAGCTCGCTCACCGTGATGGTGCTGGCAGGGTAAAGGACAAGGGGGTTGGGGGGCAGGATAACGAGGGAACAAAAGGGAGTTAGGCAGGTAAGGAAGAGCAGTTAGAAGGGCCTGCCTTGCGGCTCCAGCATGCCCTCATCCTCCAGCGCCTCCCGCAGCTCGCTCACCGTGATGGTGCTGGCAGGGTAAAGGACAAGGGGGTTGGGGGGCAGGATAACGAGGGAACAAAAGGGAGTTAGGCAGGTAAGGAAGAGCAGTTAGAAGGGCCTGCCTTGCGGCTCCAGCATGCCCTCATCCTCCAGCGCCTCCCGCAGCTCGCTCACCGTGATGGTGCTGGCAAGTCAATGTAGGGAGGAAGAGAACCAAGGAAGGGAAGGGGGGCCAACAGGAGGGTAAGGAGGAGCAGTGGTGGAATGAGGCTCCCAGTCATTCCAGCATGCCCTCATCCTCCAATGCCTCCCGCAGCTTGCTCACCGTGATGGTGCTGCCAGGGGAATAGGCGAGGGGGGGGTTCGAGGGGTTGGGGTGGGTGGGGTGGGTGGGGAAGGGAGTGGAGTGGAGGGAATGAGAAGGGGATGTGTCGCTGCTTCAGCATGCCCTCATCTTGCTGTTCTGTCACAAGTACCACATCAGCCAGGAACTAGATGCGGTCTGATCGTGCCTCATCCCCATGCCATCTCATATTTTCTCACCCGTCGCCGCCCTGTCTCTCACCCGCTGCCGTCCCTTCTCTCACCCCAATGCCATCTCATGCCACATTTTCTCACCCGCCATCCTTCTCTCACCCGCTGCCGTCCTTGTCGAAGTGCTTGAAGGCAGCGAGGATGTGCTCCTCCTTCTCCACGCTGTTGATCTCCTTGTGTCAAAGCACCATATCAGCCACGGCCTACATGTTGTCTCCTCAAATCTCACCCGCTGTCGTGCCATCTCATCTCACCCTTATCATCTCATCTCAACCTGTGCCATCTCAAGTCACTCGCTTCTGTCTCTCGTCTCACCCGCTGCCGTCCTTGTCGAAGTGCTTGAAGGCGGCCAGGATGTGCTCCTCCTTCTCGACGCTGTTCATCTGCATCGTTGCTGTGATGAACTCCGTGTAGTCGATGGTGCCGCTGTTGTCCACGTCCGCCTGGAAATAGAGGGGAGGGGATGGAGGAGGGAGGGGGCATGGGAAGAAGGAGGACAGGGGGGGACGGGGACAATGGGACAGGCTGTGATGAACTCCGTGTAGTCGATGGTGCCGCTGTTGTCCACGTCCGCCTGGAAATAGAGGGGAGGGGATGGAGGAGGGAGGGGGCATGGGAAGAAGGAGGACAGGGGGGACGGGGACAATGGGACAGGCTGTGATGAACTCCGTGTAGTCGATGGTGCCGCTGTTGTCCACGTCCGCCTGGAAATAGAGGGGAGGGGATGGAGGAGGGAGGGGGCATGGGAAGAAGAAGGACAGGGGGGGACGGGGACAATGGGACAGGCTGTGATGAACTCCGTGTAGTCGATGGTGCCGCTGTTGTCCACGTCCGCCTGCGAAGGGTGGGAGGCATGAATGAAGAGGAGGAAAAAAAGTTGAGTGGAAGACAATTTCTGAAGTTGGTTACACGTTTAACGACATTTTATGGCCCGTTTCAGTTGAGAACCAACACGTTTATCGGGACATCACGTCTCATGGCTCAATACGCTGTCTTCAAACCTGACAGTAAGAGACCCTGTACGAGTGAAGGACACTCACCGCTTCCATGATCTGCTGCAGCTGGTCGGGCGGGATGGGGCTGCCGAGGCTCCACCTCTCGGGACGTCAACTCCCACCACACGGTGCGAAGCTTCTGAGACATGCCACACACACTCACACTCGCACACACACTCACGGCCTCCATGATCTGCTGCAGCTGGTCGGGCGGGATGGGGCTGCCGAGGCGGCGCATGCCCTCGCGCAGCTCGTCGTACGTGATGCTGCCGCTGCCGTCCTTGTCCATCTCCTTGAACATCTTCTTGAGGCCTGAGATCTCCTCGCGCGACAGGTTGCACGCCACCACCTGGTCGCGCAAGGGAAAGGGGTTGGGGGGGACAGGGAGGGCGGGTAAGAAGGCGGGCCGTCCTTGTCCATCTCCTTGAACATCTTCTTGAGGCCAGAGATCTCCTCGCGCGACAGATTGCATGCCACCACCTGGTTACCACACGGGGAAGCCGTGGGGGAGGGCAAGGAGTGGTATGACTGGGAGGCTTGATTGTCGTCCTTGCCCATCTCCTTGAACATCTACTTCAGTTGTGAGATCTCCTCGCGCAACAGGGTTCACGCCACCACCTGCTCGCACACACGCAGGAGGGAGGGGGAGAACGATGGGAGGTGGGTGGGTGGGGAGAATGGGGTATGTGACTCCTCGACATTGCGTTACATGACATGCCATGAGGTGATTTCCGAGGCGCCTCAAAAGGTGATTTTTAGGCGCGCCTCAAAAAAAGAAGGGAGGTGGGTGGGGGGAATGGGGTATGAGACTCCTCGACATTACATGCCACCGACTGATGTAAGCGGAGATGACTGGCGGGGTGGTTGGGTTGGATGGTGGTGCTCGGGGTGGTGGAAAACTTTAGCAGATTAGTTGAGAGAATTTTCCTCCTTTCAGCACACTCGTCGTACACCCACCTTTCATCCCAACCACACCCGTAGACCCACCTTGAGAGCAAGCTTCTTCATCTTGTAATCACTTTTGAGAATTCTCAAAAGTGATTTCAATAGAGCCACCTTGAGCGCGAGTTTCTTCATCTTGTTGGCGGCGCTGAACTTCTGAATGCGCTTCAGCACCGCTCAGAGCCAGGCCCGCTTTGACACAAGCAAACACACTAATGGATCCGCCGCTCATCACACATACCCCTCGGGACTATCATGGATTCCCATGCTCACCTTGAGAGCGAGCTTCTTCATCTTGTTGGCGGCGCTGAACTTCTGGATGCGCTTCAGCACGGCCGCGCCCAGCGGCTTGTCCGACGCCTTGTCCGCCGCCACCCACGGATGGCCTGCGCGCATGGGGGGACCGGGAACAGAGGGGGACGGGGAACAGAGGGAGGGCGGAGGGAGAAGGCGCATTGAGATGTTGGCGTCTCAAAAGCACGGCCGCGCCCAGCGGCTTGTCCGCCGCCACCCACGGATGGCCTGCGGGGAGAACAGAGGGAAGGGGGGGAGGGAAGGGGAACAGAGGGAGACGGGGGGGAAAGGAGGAACGGGGGCTTTTGAGAGGCTTGAAAACAGCAGCCGCGCCCAGCGGCTTGTCCGACGCCTTGTCCGCCGCCACCCACGGATGGCCTGCGCGCATGGGGGGGGATGCGGGGAGGGGAACAACAGCGAGGAACACGGGGCGACGAGGGTATACCGGGGTGGTGGGGGAGAAAGGCGTGGTGAGGGGAGAGACGAGTGGAAGGGAACAGGGGAGTTGAGGACTCGATACAAGTCATAAGACGGGAGGCATACGTTTAGGAGAAATGCGCATGCATGAGCACGCGGATAAGGCCCTTGGCGACGGAAAGCACACGCTCTCAGACTCTTACACGCACGCACACCAATGAAAAGAACATACACACTCACGCAGACACATACACACACACTCGCACGATCATGCAATGCCCTGCCCAACCCAATCCAACCCCACTCAACCCGACCCAATGCATGCACCAATGCCCAGACACTCACGGAGGGCGTCAGCGGCGGTGATGCGCTTGTGCGGGTCGAGCGTGAGCATGCGGCGCACGAGTCCTTGGCGCAACCCTAACCACCGCAGCTAGCGACAGGCTGCGATGCCAAACCAAACCGAACCCACCCAACCTAGCCCAACCCAACCCAACCCAACCCAACCAGATACAACCAAACCCAACCAAACCGAACCCAACCCGGCCCAACCCAGAGCGCCAAACAGCAGCCACTCACGGAGCGCGTCAGCGGCGGTGATGCGCTTGTGCGGGTCGAGCGTGAGCATGCGGCGCACGAGGTCCTTGGCGGCGTCGCTGATGTGCGGCCACGGCTCGCCCACCAGATCCGCGTTGCCCTTCAGCACCGCGTTGAAAATCTGCTTCTCCGTCGCTGCGGGTAGGGGGGAAGGAGTGTTGGGAAGGGGAGGGATTGCGGGGAGGAGAGAGCGGGGAAAAGAGGGGGAGGAAGGAAGGAGGAGAAGAGGGAGGGGGAAAGATGGGGATGGGATCCACGAACGGTGGAGGGAAGAGTGCAGGGAACAATGGAAGAGAGCAAGGCGATCAGTTGGCAACATTGCTCCAGCGCGCCGAATGCTGGCCCACCGGCAAGCAGGTTGGCGTTGCGTTGAGAACCGCGCTCGAGGTCCACCATCTAAATCTAAAACGAAGGCTTCTCAATATCGTATCTTATCGTATCGTATCGCATTGTGGTGGACTTGACGCGGTCAGGAACGAAAAAAAGTTTCCATCTGACAAAAGGCCAAGCGCGCGACTATTATGTATGGTCTACACCGCTTTTTAGAAATCAATAACAACTATGATCCCTTTATTGACCGTAGCAAGAAGAAGCATCCATAAACAGCGGTAGGCCATTGCTGAGGAGAATTTGGAAAATCAGGGCGAGGAGAAGTGCGTTCTGAGTCAACTCAGAACAGGAAAGGGGATCGACTTACATCCATAGAAGGGCGGCGCGCCGCTGAGGAGAATATAGAGAATGACGCCGCAGCTCCACACGTCCGACTCCTTGCCGTACTTGCCCTTAAGCACCTCCGGCGCGACGTAGAACGCGCTTCCGACCGTCTCCGTGAACACCTCGCCGTCCTTAAAGAACACCGACAGGCCGAAATCCGTGACCTTGAGCGGCGCGTCCTCGCGCTTGTTCGCGAGGAGGAAGTTCTCGGGCTTTAAGTCGCGGTGGATGATTTTCTTCTGGTGGCAGTAGTCGACTATGGAGAGGATGGTTTTGATGAGGCCCGACGCGGCGCGTTCGCTGTAGTGGCCGCGCGCCGCGATGCGGTCGAAGAGCTCGCCTCCCGCGCAGAGCTCCATGACGATGTGCACGTTCTGCTTGTCCTCGAACGCGCCGCGCAGCGTGACGATGTTTGGATGCCCGGCTAGATGGTGCATGATGGCGATCTCCTTCCTGGAAAACACGGAGGGAGAGTTAAAATAATAAAGGGAAAAAGAGGAAACGAAATCAAAAAAAAAAAAAAAAAAAACAACGGATGAACACAACGACGATATGTGAATAAAGCTTCTGAAGGACTTCGGGCATTGCTTTTAAACAGAAAAATGGCACGGTTAAGTCAAAGTTAGTCGCTGGATCTGGGAACGAAGATCGTCATTGGAATCCATTGGTAATGTGGTCACAACTAAGAGCACATGCGGGAGCCTACTGGACGTTCACAGGAAAAAAATCAATAATTCTGAACAAAGCAAACTGAATCAGGCATTGCGTTAAAGGAGGATAGCCACGGGGACAAGAAGAACCAACACGAAAGACATTAAAGTACTCTTCCCTAAACCAGTTGCTCTAAACATGAGAGACAATCGCCGACAATCCCAAGGATCGAACGACCAATGTGGTCATTAGCACGCCAAAAAAAAAAAAAACATTTTTTTTTCCCTCCACGTCAGCACGACGAGAGCAGTGCGGCAATGTGGCTCATTTAACTCGGAAATGAGGCCCATTTAACGGCTCAGCGCCAAAGGAGAGCGCATGATGTTTGCAAAACTCGGGATGCTTCCGAAATGTGGCGCAAGCAGACTGGGGAATCCCATCCCTATACCAAATTGCGAAGAGTAAGGCGAAATAGGGAGGACATTGTTCGGAAACATCAGCGGGAATGAACTGTTGTTAGGGTTAATTAAACATGGGGACGTTAGTAAAGATTACCTGATGTCCTCGACTTCCTCCTTAGTCGACAGTCGACGCTTCGCGATGGACTTGCACGCCAGCTGCTCGCCAGTCTTCTTATCCGTGCACAAATGCGTCACGCCAAACTGTCCCTTTCCCAGCTCCTTCCCCATCACAAAGTGGTCGCTAATTTCAGCCGGCGGCCGGTTGAGGATGTTGGCCGTCAGCGTCTTGCTCGATTTCCGAAACATCTTGGCCGCGGGAAATGCGGACTAGGAGTGTCGAAAGGTAGCGCAAGGACTGACTAATTGCAGATTTGTTGCAGCTCCCAGATGGTTGGGAGAAGTAATTGGGATGGTGAGGAGTAGCTGTGACAAGATTGGGAATGGCGTACGGCAGCTTGGTCTTTTCAAGCGGGAAATGGGGGAGATTTTTGAAACCAAGGACGTGGGGAATACGAACGTGGGGGGAACGGGGGAGGAGATTCCAGGGGCGATGGGCAGAAAGAAACGTTCGGGCTGGGGATGTTGTGGAAGGACCAGAGGAAGGAAAAACAAAAGGAACTTGCTGGGCAGAAAAAAGCCCTGGGAAAATGGAAGGTCGGATATTGGCGCAATCAACACATTCTCGTCCTAATGAGTGAGATGTGTCGGGTTGGAACTTTTTTGCAGATGAAGAAAGGAATGCTCCTTTTCAAAATAGCTTGCAGGTCCCCATTTCCTTCCGACGCTTCTCCCACAGTCCGTCTTTCCGCATAGTGCTGTAACCATTTGCGCGTGGCGTCCATCTACGCGTCCGTGATGCTGTTGTTGATGTGTGTGATGAGATGTGATGTGATGGGAAGGGGTGACTTGTCGGGGTAGGAATCTGACGTGCATCCCGTCCAAGGTAACACCGCCCACCACCTCAGGCCTTTTCACCCTCGACATAAGTACTGTCCTTGATCACAATCGGTCTTGTACACCGCTTTTGTTTTCGCAAGCTGATCCTAAACGGAGCTCTAACAAAGGTTTGTTTGGCCTGCCCCACCCAAACAGAGAAACTGGTCATTTGTCAGCATTTAAACATTCCCTCAAGGTCCTGGAGTGTACCAAAGAGCGGTTGTACCGTACATTCAGGGCTTTGTGTAACACATGGAATGCTCGGCCCCTCCACACAAGAACTATCAGGGGTGGGCTTTACCAGAATTCAATAAGCTGTGCTTGCCTTGCTTACGTGCTTCAGCATGCAGAAGTTCATGCTCGTGAGAGGGCTTATGGTTACTTAGACCAAGAAAGAGGGACTAGTTTGAAAGAAGCATCGTCAAATGGAATAATCAAGATCAAAGAGCATAGAACTTCCAACAATGCCACCAGCCAGGTGGAGGAAAAATACTTCAAAATAATCGAGCTAGCTACAATGGTGCGATGCGATGTATATCCTATGCTCAGTGAGCTTTGATTAACAGGACACCCTGCATTTACTTCTTCCAGATAGGCTTCTGCTCACACAGCACAATAACCGCAATCCAAAAAGCTTAGGCACGTATCCTTCCGTGAGCGTAGAAAATTAAAACAGTAACACGACTGGAGGAAGATAGACCATATATGAAACTTACGCTCTGTTTCGTCTTCTTCACAGACTTGGACTGCGTCCCAGGCTTGCCCTTACCCTCCTTAAGGTTCACGAGGGCTGCACGACAGAAGCATAAGATGAGAAGCGATTAGAAAATGCCGGTAACACATGATGAGGATAATGTACTGTCAGTCATAACAGAAACATGACTATCGGAGAAAGAATATACACGGCGGTTCGCACACACAAGTATCGCAGAAAGTCAAATGCGCCTCGCCACGAAAGGAGTTGGACTTGACAGTTTGATTAGAAAGAGAGCTTCATGCACTCTGACGTACTCGAGTCAGTCTCAGTCCAGGAGATCCGCTTCACAGTGGCGTTGTCGAGCCAGTCCAGGAAGGAACCACCCTCCTCCTTGCCCTTGGCCGCCAGGACCATAGGGGTCATGCTCATGGAGATAGCAGCCATGGCGGCACGTGGGGATGATGAGGTGGATTCCTGTGAAGATGGGAAGAAGGCGGATTCTGGATCAAGGAACCACGAGCAGGATGCAAAGCAAAAATGGGGGGGGGATGGAGGTGATGGAGCTGGCCGAGGCGAGGGGAGGGAGCAGGGGGGTTGTGGAAAGGCTGTGGGGAGGGCGTGGGGGTGTTGTGGCAGAATCAGGGGGGACGGGGTTTGCACAAGAGTAGGTTTGGAAGAGAGGTTGTTCGCGTGGAGGCGAAATCGAGACTTCGAGCTCGTCAGCCACACGAACAAGCCGATATTGTATCGGAGTAACATCAAAAGATACACTCCGTGCCACGTCAGACAAGATCTGACCTTGTGCCAGCATGGCTGGATAGGTATCAGCCACAAACGCCGCCGAATCAGCAAAGGTTAAATTATCCGAAAGTGAATCAAAGGGCGTGTTTTGTACGATCTTCTGAACAATTTCCAGGTACAATCGGATGCATTACGCCACGACCGTGGCTTGTAGCGAGGGTGGGGGAGGTATGGAATTGTTATGAACTGGACTTCTTGTTCAATCTGTTAGTGCTTGCTACTGCGTTGCATCCAACCATTTCATTAAAAAAAAAAACAAGAGCCGACTAAATCGTCTTAGGGTTGCGGAGCGTAATGATCTGAGTGCATTTTTTTGGGTATTATATAATTATTGGGTATGGTTGGTGTAATTGTTGTATTGCTATAACTTTCTATACTCTTATATTGAACTTTAGTCTGTAAAAACGTCACCCTTGGGTTTCGAAACCGAGAGCTTTAGATTCCTTAGTAACTTCTTACGAACTAGGCTAAACAATGCGTGATGTCGAGAGAATGTCATTGTTTTATACTGGTTGTTTTTGCGGGGATTTTGTGCACTACTCTAGGGATGGTTTCCTTTCTTTTTTCTCTCGCCTTTCTGTCGCCATCACCCTTGGAGTCTAGTTGAGCTTCCTTCTGCCAGTCATGCACCACCTACCACTCAGGTTAGAATACTAAAATGCCTTCTATAACTCAGTTAGGTGCTTGTAAGCTTTCAGTTATTTTGTTCCGTTCTCACGTCGATCTAGTTGTTAGGTCGTTCATTAACAGCAGCCTATTCTTTCTTCTAAGTCAGATGTAAAGGTAGAAGCCCCTATACGGCTGCCTGCTATGTCGTTTTTAAAAAGCATGCCATTTTGACATAGTTGCTAGGACTTATTCATTTTTTTTCCAATGCAATCCGCGGAAGGATGCATATGTACCATCTCAGCTGATTGTGAGGACGAAGTTGTTTATTTTTACGTATGAGATAGATCAAGTTGAAAGGGATTGTCCTTTTATAAAGCTCTGATTAGTTTTGAGCCGATGTATCTTTATTTATTGCATCTTATATCTTTCAACTTCGTTGCCTTCTTTTTTCTTCGCAGGTCCTGAGATTGTGGTTGCAACATTCATATTAAGTCCACTGAAACATTGTAAGACCTTTCCTGTAATCTCTCTTTCCCTCTTTTTTTTCTTCAACATCTCCTTACTCTTTATTGTTACGTGTGTTTCTGTTGACTTCGCTGTCATTGGTGTTAGAGATTTAGAAAGTGTCTTATTGCTTCATACTGGATTCTATTGTATTTCGCCTTTTTCTGTCGCATGATATTTTCTGTTCTCCTTTCGCCTACGTTTCTTTACTTTGTTCTTTCTTTCCTCCTTATCTTCCCACTCTTATTAAGATGGAAACGATTTTGATTTAGTTTGCTAGGCGAATCAGGGCACGTAGGTCAAGTCGACCTAGCTAGGCCTTATTTCTGCTTGCTGCTATTATTGGCTTCCCTTTCCTGCCTCTGGTATTTGCTTTCGGTTCCTACTTCTGTTTTTGCATTTTTTAGGGCTTAATGTTTTCTGATTGTTGTTTTCTGCTTTTGTTTGAAGCATACCTTGCCGTACCCCCTTTATCTGTCTTTTTCCCTAATCTTTTTCTCTCCTTGTTTCACTCATTGTCATTCCTCGCCTCCTGTTTCTCTCATGCTTTCTTCCCCCCATGTTCTTTCCTTCCCCCTCTTTTCATTGCTCGCCTCCTGTTTATTCCATGCTTTCTTCCCTTTCTGTTATATCCTATCGCCAGAGGCTTTGCTGTACCATTGGGAAGCCAAGACCAATATAGAAAGTAGAATGGTATCGTTCTTGATTTGTATGATTTATGGTATTGTATTGCTTTGGTAGATTTTTCCTGCATTTTTATTGACTTGTCTCAGTTTTTGCGTGTGCATATGTGTGTGTTTGTATGTATGTCTCTCTGTGTGTGTATATTCATCCATATGCGTATATCATTGCATTAACAATGCATATCTGTGTGTTTTAAAAAAATGGTCAAACTGTCAATTCCGAGAAGGTTCTTTGCCCACTCAGTGAGTGTGTTCATTTTTTATCATTTTTTTAGTTTACACAGATTGTGTTGTTTCATGTAACAGTTGGATGATTCAGGAACTATGCTATTGACCTCCCCCCAATGCTAGGCAGGGGACGCGGTAGCATAGAGCCTGGGTCAATTAACTATTACGTAAATTCATCATGCTTATACATTCATGATATATATACAGTACCGGTCGATTTATACCGAAATATATAATATTCCACCAGTCACATATCCATTATATTTATGCATTATATTTATCCATCCATATAATTCATCTATGCATAATATAATCCGGCGTATGCATTACGGAATACACAATTAAGCGTTCACATTAGGTAACCCAACCCAAGTTCAAGGAAAGCTAGGAAATGAGCTACGGCACATGCTAAATTGCCATGACAAAAATACATACGGTAGGAGTCCGTCACTTAGCTACTATTCATTAGATTTTATTCATTCGATTTTATAGATGATTGAAAAAAAATTTGAACATAACGATTGTAATAAGTTGCTCCGCAACCCAAAAAAAACAAAAAAAAAAACAAACAAACAAAGAACCACTGGGCTTGGAAATGACTATCAGTTAACATTGAAGCCATTGCGAGGAAGACAAGAAAGTTAGCACCTGCACAACCTCACTCATTATCGGCCTCTTGAACGGGTCATTCACCAGGCACCATCTCGCCAACTCCGCAACCTTCGCAGCTGCTTGCTTGGGGTACTTATCCCCGAGCCTAGGATCCATAATCTTGGACAAATCTGCACTATTGTGTAGGTACGGCCGCGCAAATTGAACTATATTGACTTCCGGTGGCGGCCGACGTTGATCGATGGAGGGTCTTCCCGTGAGAAGCTCTAAAAGCACGACTCCAAACGCCCACACGTCATTTTTCGGTGTTAGACGGCCTGTCATCATGTACTCAGGAGCCGCATACCCTGCGGTACCGCGCACCTGGATGGTTGGTGAAGGTTTGGAAAGGGGACAACCACAAGGGAGATGCTTTATTGACTTCAGAGCTAGATGAAACCATAAAAAGGTTTCGTATTGGTTGAAACGGAATGTGGGACGACTGGAAAGCAAACTTATCAGAACTGGGCAAATTTTACCAGAAAAGAAAGCTACAGCCAACTGCAGTGCAAGGAGATGGTAGGAAGTGCCACATTTTTTTCTGCAAGGAACGAGTGTTGACATCTGCGCATACGCTCGTGTTGAACTCGTGTTGGGACCTAATCCTCCAAACTGGTTTTGAGCAGACTCTTAAGTCACCACTAACGACGACGTAGACCCTCACCTGCGTTTTCACTTGTGTCTCTTCCCCCATGGGCCCTTCCCTTGCCAACCCAAAGTCAGACAGCTTGGGGCAAAAACGGGCTTTAGAAGTACACAAAGTATCAGTCTCAAACTCAAGACTCAACACAAGCCTCACCTGCGTTGACACGTGTGTCTCTTCCCCCATGGGCCCTTCCCTCGCCAACCCGAAGTCAGACAGCTTGGGGCAGAAGTCTGCGTCTAGAAGCACGTTGGATGTCTTGAAATCACGGTAGATGATCTGAGGGGGAAGAGGGAGGGGGAAGGGGGAAGGGGAAGAGGGATAAAAGAGAGGAGGCTGAAAGGAAGGAGAGCTTGGGGCAGAAGTCCGTGTCTAGAAGCACGGTGGATGTCTTGAAATCACGGTAGAAGATCTGGAAGAGGGGGGGGGGGGGGGGGGGGGGGGGGGGGGGGGGGGGGGGGGGGGGGGGGGGGGGAGAGAAGGGAGGAGCGGGACAAAGGAGAGAAAATTGAATGAAAAAGAGCCTTGGGAAGAGGCCCCCTCGCCGTCCCAAGAGCCACCTTGAGCCGCATGAGTGCACATGCAGCATGCAGCACAGAAATAATTCGCCAGCCTTTCAACCCCCAGCACTCACCAGTACCTGCACCTCCTCAAGGCCACCCAACCCCCAAGCACCCACAGCACAGCACTCACCAGGACCTGCACCTCCTCATGCAGGTGCACAAGCCCTCTCGCCGTCCCCAGCGCCACCTTGAGCCTCATGATTTCACACACGGCATGCAGGATAAAGTACAGAGAAGCATCCCTTCAACCTCCCACAGCACGACACTCACCGGGACCTGCACCTCCTCGTGCAGGTGAGCCAGCCCTCTCGCCGTCCCCAGCGCCACCTTGAGCCGCGTCGGCCAGTCCAAAGGCGGCAGCACCGCTGCTGCCGCCGCTTTTTTCGAGGAGTGCGAGTGGGAGTGAGAGGAGTGCGATGCGGTTGATGCAGATGACGCATGCACATTGTGGTGGTGGTTGCTGCTGCTCCGGTGGTGGTGGCTGTTAGCGTTGTTAGTGGCTGCAGCAGCGGCGGCAGTGGTGGAGAGCGGTGCAAAGAGGTGCCGGTCGAGGGAGGAGTTGGGGAGGAATTCGTAGACGAGAAGGCGGCGGTGGCCCTCGGCACAGAAGCCAAGCAGCTTGACGAGGTTGGGGTGGTCTATGAGACCCAGCAATCTCACTTCAACCATCCACTCCTTGTGACCCTATGGGAGAGAGGAAGCAACAGGCGCAGAGGGAAGAGAGGGCAGCTAGTGAAGGAACGACAGAGAGCAGGCGGCGGTGGCCCTCGGCACAGAAGCCAAGGAACTTGACGAGGTTGGGGTGGTCGATCAGACCGAGTAACCGGACCTCTACCATCCACTCCTTGTGACCCTGTGCGCGATGGGTGGGGCAGGGGCAGAATGAGTGAGTGGGAGGCGGAGACGAGCAGGCGGCGGTGGCCCTCGGCACAGAAGCCAAGTTTTGAGGCGCCTCAGAAGCCAAGCAGCTTGACGAGGTTGGGGTGGTCTATGAGACCCAGCAATCGCACCTCCACCATCCACTCCTTGTGACCCTGATGGGGTGATGCAGAGGCAGGCGGACGTGAGAAGTGAGAAGTGGGAAGTGGGAAGTGGGAAGTGGGAAGTGAGAGACAGACAGAGCTTGACTAGACTAGACTGGGATGGTCTATGCAACATCCAGTTGTGAGGTCAGAACCTCAGTTGAGTCAGTTAAGGCGCCTTAATCCTGCTCCACCTCTCACTCTCCCAATTTTGCAGCACGCCCTGATTCAGGCGCCGCCCCCACTGAAGTCTTACCTGAAGCTGTAGAACTAGGCTGTCGAGTTTTGAGGATCCACAAAAATCGTCCCCACTGAAGTCTTACCTGAAGCTCTTGTACTACGCTGTCGAGCCGCCACCTGTTCCAGTCCCCATGGCGCTTCCCCCTACCTGAGAATCCCTCTACTCCTCCTCATCCCTCGCTCGGTCCGTCCTTCATACCTACCTCAGTCTCGGCTTCATTTCTTATTCAGCTGATAGCCCTTCAACTTTTCCTCAATCTCACTCAAGGGCTAGAAATATTTGTTTCCCTTACCTGATAATCTCTTAATCGCCACCGTCCACCTCTTGCTGCAGCGCCTACTTTTTGAGATATCTCGAGTTTCGTTTGATATGCATGGATTATATATACATTGTTGTGAAATATTTATAAAGCTCTGATGTTGACCATTCTCACCTGTAGGCTCTTCGAGTCCAGCTTCTTGATCGCCACCTCTTGCTGCAGCACCCTCCGCCCTTCCCCCACCCCTCCGCCGTTCACCAACCCCCCAGCAGCGCCTCCCCCTCCCGGAGATCCCCCCGATACCCCCGAAACCGCCGCTGCGGCGCTTTCCAGCGCGCTGCTCGCCGCGTTTGCCGCCGCGTTTGCCGCTCCCGAACCCTGCGAGCTAGCTGGCTTCAATACCCCTTTAAAGACCTTGCCGAACCCGCCGGCTCCTAGGAGCAGATCGTTCGAGAACCCCTTAGTCGCGGATTTTAACTCCGGATAGGAGAACACGCGAAGATCCGATCGCTTAAGAACGTCATCTATCAGCAACATATCGCGCTGCATCGCACGGTCGTGCGGCCGCCGCGGCGTGCTTAAAGCGACGGATTGATCGGGCCCGGTATTGCCATCTATTGCCGCGTCTTGTATCGCGGACGGCTGATCTGCCGCCGAATCTCCCCCAGCCTCCGCCCCCGTCCCCGGCCCCGGCCCCGCCCCCGCCCCCGACGCCGCCGCAGCCGCTGCCTCTGTTGCAGTTCCGTTTGCGCCGCCGCCGCTAGTCTTATTTTCTCTGGCCTTCACGAGAGGCGAGGGCGAGTTCATCTTTTGCGTGATCCGAAGCGCGAACGGATTAACGTTCGACCCGCTGAACATCTGAACTGAGGACCCTCTGCTGCTCCCGCCGTTACCGCCGCCACCGCCGTTGCCGCCGCTTCCGGCGCCACCGCCATTTCCGCCGCCGGAACCCTTATTGGTGAAATTGAAGTTAAAAGACCTACTGTTAGTACCGCCGCCGCTGCCGCCGGAGCCGCCGCCGCCAGCACTGCCATTGGCCTGAACGCTGCTGACCGCTGACGTGCTGTGGCTTCGTCGAACCTGCCTCTGCTGCTGATGGTGCTGCTGCTGCTGCTGCTGCGGCTGCTGCCTGGGTGCGTGCGACGACGCGGGGCGAACAGGCGACGGAGAGCCTACTCCGTCGCCGGGCGACGTTCCGTGCGACCCGCCGAGCGGCGACGGCGCGCGCACGCCGCCAGGGCTACCTAACCCTAACCCGCCGTCATAGCTTCTCCGTTGCCTTCGCCCCAACGCGGCACCGTTACCTTCCACAACTAACTCGTCTTCTATAGACTCCTCCCCAGCTGTTCCGACCGAGCCGCCTCCGGCTGAACCTCCTCGCGGCACAGGCGGGGTTGTTACCCCTGCCACCGGAGACCCTGACAAGCTCCGAGGCACGTTTTGGCGGGGAGAAGTGGAGGTTCGGGAGGGGGAATCGCAACTCTGCGGTTGGTTGTTGTATGGTTCGGAGGCTTGCCTCTGGAGGAAGCGCGACGCGGCGGATGGCGGGGGAGCGTGGGACGAGGGGGAGCAGGAGAGGTTTTCATCCTCGATAGAAACATCTGCAAGAACGTCAGAGAGTGTAGCAGCGATTGGAGCTCGAGGCGAGGAGGTCAGGCTGTGCGGGTGGTGCGTCGGAGAGCCGAGGTAGTTAAAGAAACGGCTTCGGATAGGCGGATGACCCGAGGGAGTGCTACAGGCGGAAGTGGGCGCGGAGACTGTTCCGCCTGCCCCGTCATCATCGCGCGCGTTGAATGAACCGCCTAGTCCGAAACACTTCATGGGTGAATGCTTGACTGAAAAGTGTTGAAGTAACGGGTATGCCGCGTTCGGCTGAAAGAAAACGCGAGGTTACCAGACCGCTACATAGAGGAACGTGAGCTTTTATTAGGGGGATTACGGCAAGAAATCAGCCAAATGCGCTGCTCGCGTTTCCTTATCATGGAGGGCTACGGGCTCGCAGATTCTCGCTTGGAACTGAAGTCTGGACTCGAGATTGAAAACAATGAAAATGTTTCATAAGTTTCTTTCCAACTCGATTGGATGCTATGCTGAGCGTCCCACCCCAAAGCTTGCCGCGATGCGGCCTCTGTGTTTTGAGCCACACACACAGCACAGCCGCAACCACACAACCTCGATCTTTGCCCTTGGGGGATATGTGAGTTTGTCAGTTTCCCGGGATCCCACAAGTTTCCCCCCTGGTGGTGCTCCGCGGAACGCAGCTTGGTGATTTCGAGCGGAAGCCCACCCGCCTCGCGCGTGAACATCCAGGAACCAGAGGGAAAATGGAAGTGGCCCCTAGCAACGCGCGGGACATCAGCGGCGGAACAAGCTGATCTGTGGAAAAAATCGTGTTTGCGGAAGAGGAATCGGCGGATTGCAGGCGAGGGAGGTGGAGTTGGGCTCCAGGGTTCCCCGTAACCATAACAGCTCAGACGGGTGGGGGTGACAAGGCGAGGCGCGAGAGATCGTCAAATGTGGTCCGTCGGATTCGGAATTGGAGGTGCAAGCAGTCCCAAAGCAATGATACAGTGAAACCATTTTCTGGTAATAGACGACAGAGGAGCTATTTGGGATTAATCTGCAAAGGCGGACGTGGTTCGATGCTCCCAGATAAAGCAATAACTGAGGGTATTCACAAACTGATACCAGGGCAGTTTCCTTCCAGGACTTCACACCGACAACCATCCAGTCGACGCTTGGCAGGGGTTTCGGTGGTTATAAAACCGCTCAGAACGCCCTCGAAAGTCTTCCACATGATAGTTTCGTAGACACTCTTGTACCGTGCGGCCCGTTCTTTCCGTGGCTGCTTTTTTTGACTCGCGTTGTAGACCCCTCTACAGAACGTGAGACCCAACTCCACGTGATCGAAGTGAAGCCTCATAACTGATGCAAATATCCTCGCCATTAGCGCACTCGTGACTAGTCTCTTGTTATGAAAGAATATTATAACTATATGACAGCATAAGAAGAAAACACGAACGCTCACCAGTTCCACAGAACACTGGTTGCTAATTTTCTGCAGGTGTACAGGCGCCCCCCAATCCGCTTATCACACAAACTTTGCCATGCTAGCCATTCCTACGAGCCCGACTTACTACCCGCTGGCATTGTCTAGGTGCGTTCGCCTGCTCGCTTCTCTCGAGCAGCGCAACCGACACATCGGCAGCATCGTCTGCAGGAGTGACCCTTACCAAGCATGCCCACATCAACCTACCACTACCTGCTCGACCAAGAAATCCAGAGTCTATACGACCAGCAGCATTAGGCGATTCGCCAACGCACGACTCGCGAACTCCCTTTCAGCGAACGCGCGATTTGCTAACGCTCGATCAACGATCGCAACAATGGTGTGGGCGAAAGATCCTCAGGGAGGCGAACCGCGTGATCCGGCCGAGCTCGCAGCCCTATCCGCCATCCAGACTCTCCAGGAAACCGACAAGCCCGTCCCTAAACTCGTCGTCTTTGATTTAGACTACACCCTGTGGCCCTTTTGGTGCGAATGTCGGCGAAAGAGCGAGAACCCCCGCTTGTATCCTGAAGCGGGTCAGGTTTTATCCGCTCTCGCAGCTGCAGGGATCCCTATCGCCTTCGCGTCGCGCACGCCGACTCCGGAAATAGCCCGGGTGTTCCTGGACAAATTAGGGTTTCAAATGGAGGACGGCGGCGGCTTCAGCAGCGGATACGGCAGTTCTAGAGGGCACGGGAGCGGAAGGAGCAGCGGCAGAACCAGCAGCAACAGCAGCAGTGGCGGCAATGTAGATGGCAATGCGAGCGATTTAAAGCGTGTGGTACGAGCGGCTGAGATCTACCCCAGTATGACCCACAAAACGGAGCATTTCGAGGCGATCCGGAGGCGAACGGGGATCGCGTATCGCGACATGCTGTTCTTCGATGACGAGTCTAGGAACACGCGGGAAATCGGATCCTTGGGTGTGACGAGTGTGCTTGTAGACGATGGTGTGACTGTAGACGCGCTCAAATACGGGCTGGCGCAGTTTGTGAAGAAACATGAGGAGTCTTCTACAAGAAGCCACTAGGTTCCAAGAAGCGACATCAACGTATGGGTGCAATCCTTACACCCTAGGGGCTTCATTTATAGATCGTCATCTGGTGGTCTGAAGCTGTAAATCTGGGCTGCTGGCGCTCAAGAAGCTGTTTGGTAAAAGTAATAATCACCAGTACCTAGAATTTCTTCCAGTGAACCATAGCCTGCCGTTCCCAAGAAGCTGGGCTCATTCATTAGGCACTTCAAATCAGGAATATGGAACACCCTATGTCCGCATGTCATGGCATTTATTGTCCTATTTATCTAGTACCTGCTGCTCGTATGGCTGGGTGGACACTGGACATGCCTAGGTATATGCATACCATGGCTGGCACTGCATTGTGAAGTGTCATTTGAATGCTGCTACCCTTGTGTTATCTGGAAATGGTTTCCTTTCTATGCTCTGACGTCTGACGATTTATCATGCAGCGGCATCTCCAGCCCCTCAGGCGGCTTCAGATAGGCCAGCACTCCAACATACGTCTCGATTCGATTAACGACGGGCGACACGTCAGCATCGTTCAAGGCCTGCAGCTTGCACCGGTACTCATTCCCCACCACATCCAGCAGCTTCACAAACTGTGAGCGGTACGTAAGGTGCATGCGGTAACCAGCAATCTACACGGTGGGGGGGAGGGATAGGGACAATGGGACGAGATGGATGCTAATTTTTCTAACCTTGAAGGATGCGTTTGCAGGGAAAACACCCCGGGGAATCAATCAGATGTACACATACCTTGAGAAATACTTCCAGGGCGGTGGCACATGCCCGATTGGCTGGGAGGTGGTTCAGCAGCCGGGCACACCACTGCCATGCGTGGGACAAGCCAAAAGGGTGCGCTGCGGTGCCAGGCGGTGGGAGGGTCTGGCACAGAGGAGGAGAGAAGGGAGGACATGAAAAGCCATTGAGTTCCTAGCTCAGGAGTCACCTACAGCAGCAAGCGCACACATTGCCTCACATGGGATAAGCAAAGGGGTGCAGCGTGGTGCCAGGCGGTGGGACGGTTCAGCACGAAAGGGGAAGTGATGGGGGACATGATGAGAAGGAGCAGGGATGGATGACAGGGAAAGGGAGGTAAAACTGCTGGAAAGCATAAGAACAACTCCCTGTAGTGCCGTCTACACCATACGTGAAACATAGCAGCAGTGCGTGTATTGAGGCAAAAGGTCTTGTAAATGATCGGGGCATTCATACATCCGCCATGAGACTAACCTGTTATCCTCTCTATAATCATACCTGGCAAATAGCAGCCATGAGGGTGATGTATCCCGTCATCCTCTCTGTAAACACATCGGTCGACTCCATTTTGTTCTTCCCACCCTCCATACTCGCTATAAGCATACCTGACATATAGCAGCCATGAGTGTGATGTATCCAGTCATCCTCTCTATATAAGCATCGGTCGACTCCATTCTCTTCTTCCCACCCTCCCCTTCTTCCTCCCTGTACCCCAAGTCGCGGTAATAGGCGTCGTCAGAGGGGTAAGAGGCCTGCGCAAAATCATTGAATAAAATATAACTTATCAAGAGCGGGGATGTTGAAGCAAAGATCTGTCAAGAGGCCTGCGCCACAAGTGGATTAAACGGGAAGGATAATCATTAATGGTTGATAAAACATGGGGGAGATTGAAGGGCGGAAAATAAAGAGGGGATATTATTTCGGCCCTCCCATCTTCCTTCCTGAAACTTAAGCCACGGTAACAAGCATTGACAGATGGTAAACACATCCAAGAAGTGCACTTATTAAAGGGGGGACAAAGGAGGAGTGGCCAAGAGGGGCTGATAGAGAAGGAGAGAAATATAGAGGATGATAAAGAGGGGATGATATGCTGACTATTTATACAAAGGACCATTCGGATGATATGAAAGGGGTAAGCAAGAAGGAAAGTATTCGGGCTGCCATTTATCGAATTAAGGTTCCTCTACAAAAAGGGTGCCTCGCTATTGAGCAAGCATACCTACAGAACGACACAATGGTGTGAACGTACCTCGGAAAAGACGTAGTGCTGTGGAATAGTGTAGATGCAGGTCTCGTTCAGGTTTGCAATTAGAGTGTCCATGGCAATGGGTGCCTGCAAGCGAAGGGAGAGCAAAAGCGAGGGGGAGAGAAGAGACTGCTTTTGAGTCGACTCAGAAATGGAATGGTGTAGATGCAGGTCTCGTTCAGGTTTGCAATTAGAGTGTCCTGGCAATGGGTGCCTGCCAGCGAAGAGCATACCAGTGGGAAATGGAGAAAGAAAAACGTCACCTTGTTTCGATCGAAACAAAGAGGTGAGCATAACTTGGAAGATGGGCGAAGGGGTTAAGCGCCCAAAAAATGGAATTGACAATCACCACATTCACATTTTTTGCGCAAGAGCGATATTCTAGGCGATTTGTATATTTGCCTCGACAGTGAGATGCCTCAAAATTGGAATTGACACTCACACGAGAGGCCACGTTCACAATGACTTGCGCGAGAGCAAATGCGAAAGACGGTAACTTGGTTACTTGGGACTCGCACTGCGATAAGATCTGCACGTCGGGGTGCAAGGGGTGCAAGGCCCCATAAAGAATAGGTTACGGAGGTGAGGATTGGGTGGATGGGTGGGTGGGTAGGATGGAAGGAAAAAAAGGTCACGAGATGTTCAGTATCACAAGCCAAGAAGGTTGGGTGGGTTGGGAAGATTGAAAACCACAGGCCACACAATGCGATGCAAGGGTTGAGAACAAGGAGTGAGGGGAACGGGGGAGAGGAAGCGAATGCAAGGGTGAGAACGTCTTGGGGTGAGGAAACCTTAACAGCAGGAGCGCCGTAAAATCAGCAGACCTCTTAATCGACTTGTATAATGCAACGCACCTTGGAGGCGAAGGTGATAAAAATGATGTTTTGAGACGTCTCAAAACAACGCACCTTGGAGGCGAAGGTGATAAAAATGATGTTTTGAGACGTCTCAAAACAACGCACCTTGGAGGCGAAGGTGATTGCAACAAACGTTTGGGGAAGAGATGGGTCCAGCAGGAGCGCCGTGAGATCTTTAGACTTCTTGCTGTGTGATTGGATACAGAAAAAAGGGCACGTGTAATGAGGATGTTTTTGAGACGTCTCAAAAAGCGCCGTGAGGTTTTTAGACTTCTTGCTGCGTGATTGAATACAGAAGAAAGGGGAAGAAACCCCATTGACAGCATTAATCGTTGAACGAACACACTGTTGAGAGTACACATACACACACACCAGAGCACACACACACACACACACACACACGCGCGCGCACGCGAATACACATGCACACACGCACACAGAATGTACGTGTAACCCTCCCTCATGTTGGGACCTGCTCATGTCATAGATATGACCACATCAAGCCACATCACTTCAGGTCATACCACGTCATGTCAGGTCATGCCACATCATGCCAGCTCATGCCAAGTCATGGCACGTCATGCCATATCATGTCAGGTCATGCCGCATCATGCCATGTCACGTCACGTCATGTCAGGCCATGCAACATCACGCCTTACTCGATTTGTTCGTGCGAGGCTGAGATCTGCTGAACCAGCAAAATTATTCGCCGCTCTACAGTCTTGCGGTCCTGCGGTGGGATGCGATCAGATGCAGTGGGAAGCGGTAGAATGTGGTGCGATGCATTGAGTTGCGGTTAAAACCGGGGTACACATTCAGGTTGGGGAACAGTAAATTTGGGGGTTTGGGCAAAAATTGGCCGTAATGTGGGCATCAAGGGATAAACCCTGATGCCCACCAAGGTGAATGCACACCCCGGTTTTAATGGAAGGAGAATAAACACAGTGTGAATGAAGGGACGAGATGGATCATCAGAGACGGTGTCATGCAATGGGATGCGGTGTGGGGTATTGCATTGCGGTGCAACAAAAGACAGAGGAGCCCATTTATTCGCCATGTCCTCACCTTCTTCCGAGAGTTATCAGCCATAATGGGAGCAATCTTACTAAGTTGCGGAAGACGCCAGGACCGTCCTGCGTCTAGACGCTAGACGCAGGACGCACCCGTAGACGCTAGACGCAAGGGGGAAAGTTTTTGGGCAGGCCGGGAAAAAAAATTGGGGGGGGGGGGAAATCAAGACCTAAGAAGAAATTGCCTCAAATGTTAGCTATGTCCATATCCCCCCCCCCTCCCCATGCCCCACAGAAGGCTTTTTTGGCTGTCCGTACTCTTTTTTGCCTGCCCGGGCTTGCGTCTAATCAGCCCTAGACGCGCGTCCAGCGTCTTAGACGCTGCGTCTAGACGCAGCGTCTAAGACGCTAGACGCGTCTTCCGCAACTTAGCAATCTCATTGCGCAATGCCTTCAGCCGTATGCAGCGGGATGCGGTGTGGTGCGATCCAGTGCTTTCCACCCATTCGCCCTGCCCTCCTCACCTTCTTCCTTGCACTATCAGCCATGATGGGAGCGATCTCATCTCGCATCGCCTTGAGCCAATGGTGCGGCGGTGAGATGCGGTGCGATGCGGTCCAGTGAATTCATCCCCTTTCCATGTCCTCACCTTCTTCCGAGCAGTATCAGCCATGATGGGAGCGATCTCATCGCGCATCGCCTTGAGCCGTGCCAGCCGGGCCTCTGCCTCCTTCGCTGCTCCCTCCGCCACTCGCACTTTGGAACTCCTCTGCGCTGTTAAGGAGAAAGCATTGGGAGGAAATAGGGGGAACAGAGAAACGAAAAAGAGGGAGTGGGGAAAGGGCATCGCCTTGAACCGTGCCAGCCGGGCCTCTGCATCTTTCGCTGCTCCTTCTGCCACTCGCACTTGGAACTTCTCTGCGCTGTTGTGGGAAAGCATGTTGTAGGGGAGAGAAAAAAAGGTGGTTGTTTTTTTTTTTTTTTTTTTTTTTTTTTTTTTTTTTTTTTTTTTTTTTTTTTTCTTCTTTCTTTCTTTCTTCTTCTTCTTCTTCTTCTTTCTGTTTTTTTGGTGTGGTTTTGGTTCTCTTTCTAATTTATTCTCCCTAACAAAAAGCCAGGGTTGAGTGAATGGTGTGCACTGTGTGATGGGGGCAGACAGGATCTGGAGCAATTCTTTTTCCGAGTCGACTGTTCTGCTGCTCACCCTGCATTTGAGCACCAGAACACTCGACTCAAGCTAATCAGAATAATCAGACGATCCCCGACACCAATTTCTTTAGCGTTTCATCATAGCGTTTTGATTGAAGGCTCCCATCATCACCCCCCATCATTGCATGTCACCACTGCTCATTCCCCTTCCCACCCCTCACCTTGCCTCTTTTTGGCTTCTGCAACTGCTGCTGCTTTCGCCTGAAAGGAAGGGCGTGAGGAGCAGTAGAAGGAGGGATAGGTGGATGTACAACAGATAGCCATGTGAACAAAGACACGACGAGGAATCAAATGCAAGCCACACACAAGCCCACCCTCCCCCAAGGGACGTTACAACATCGCATCGCTGCACTCAAACTTCCCACCTCTGCTGCTGCTCTCGCGTCTGCTGCATCAGCAGCTGCTTTTGCCGCCTGGGCTGCCCTCCCCCTCGCCTCCACCCCTGCTGCTGCCTATGCCCAGCAATTGAGTACGTGCTTCAAACCCAAACCAACCCAACCCAACCCAGCCCAACCCAACCAAACCAAACCCACCTCTGCTGCTGCTCTGGCATCTGCTGCATCAGCAGCTGCTTTTGCCGCCTGGGCTGCTTTCCTACTCGCCTCCACCTCCTGCTGCTGCCTTTCCACCTCCCTCTTCCGCTCCTCCTCCTTCCTCCTCTCCTCCTCCTCTTTCCTCCTTCTCTCCTCCTCCTTCCTCCTCCGCTCCTCCTCCATCTCCCTCTGCTGCTTCGCCCGAAGCTCAGCTTCGATCTCGGCTCGGCGCCGAGCCTCTGCCGCTGCTGCCTCTCTCCGAAGCTGCGACTCCCCAGCCTGCAGTGAAACGGACGGAAAGGGGAGTTTACCTCTGCCTTCTTATTACCACTATTTTTTTATTACCACGAATTTGAAGTTATGAAGATTACCTTTCGGTTACCACTAACCTGAGGTTACTGACAACTACCTTCCGGTTACCGATAGTCAAAAGTTACAACCCACCTCTGATTTCTGCTCGTGCTCCTGGGACAATCGACGGATGTGAGAGTCCCTCATTTCCTCCCTGCATGATGCATGCACCCATGCATGCACTCATAAATACATTATACACGCACACAAACATGCACACATACGCCCTTGCATACACGCACACATTCACACATGCATACTCTCACGTGTCACACACATACGCACACGAACAAGCATTGATGCAACAAGAGAAACTATGAGCACCCAGGTGCACTTCTTGCAACAGCTTTCGATTCTCGCCTCCCTAGCAAGCACTGCGAGCCAGCCTGATGAAACAATAAGCATATCTCGCAAGCCTGATGAGTTTCCCTATCTCACCTTTCCCCACACACCCATCAACCCACACCCTCTCCCCTCATCCCCCACTCACACGGCCTGCCAGTGCTCCCTATCAAGCTGGGCCAACGTGACCTGCACCGCCTCCTGCTGAGCCGCAAACACACTGCCTATATACACTCGCACACGAGTCACACCAGCACACCCCCTCCCCCACTCACACGGCCTGCCAGTGCTCCCTATCAAGCCGAGCCAGTGTAGCCTGCACTGCCTCTCGCTGTGCCTCCACTGCTGCTACGGCTGCCCGCCCCTTCTCCCGCTCCTCCATCAGCCTCCCCTCCAGCCGCACCCGCCGCTGCCTCACCTCCTCCTGTTAAACCGTGAATTGGGATGTGTGGGGGGGATGCGTTGTAGGGAGGGGTTGGGATAAAGGGGGGATCACGGGCACACACAGCTAGACTGAGCCTCCACCGCTGCTGCTACAGCTGCCCGCCCCTTCTCCCGCTCCTCCATCAGCCTCCCCTCCAGCCGCACCCGCCGCTGCCTCACCTCCTCCTGCCGAGACAGGTAAGGGAGAGGGGGGTGGAGCGGGAGGGGGGAGGAATTCGTGGAAAGTGGAGGAGGAACGGGTTACAACGTACGTCGCACCTAAACCACCACCCCACGACGCCACTCCAAGACCAAGTAACCCGTGGCGGTACGCACCTCCACTTCAGCAGCGACCTTCCTTTCCACCTCCCCCAGTTCTGCCTCCACCCGCCTCACAGGCCGTGCTACTGGCCTCTCCGCGTCTAGCGCGCTCCCCCTTCCGCCTAAACTCCCCCTCCGCTTCCCCCCATCTCCCCCGAACCGTTCCCCATTTCCCCCGTCCCCCTCCCCGTCTGAATCGCTAGAGTCGCTGCTGCTAAGGCTGATGTGAAACGACGCTTTCCGCGGCTTCTTTCCGCCGCTCCCCGCGCTCTTCCGCCTGTCCTTCCCAGCGCTACCCGTTTCCGCGCGCGCATTAGGAGGCGAATAGAAGTTTTCCCCTAACTCTCCGCTGTATCTCGTCTCCTCCCTCTCCTCGTCGCTGCTGCCGCTGCTGCTCGCGGATCCTCGACCGGCCGTCATCCACGCCGGGGATCGCGCCGGGGATTGCGCGGAGTCTCCGGGTTCGGATGGCCAGCAGGGCACAGCGCCAAAAGCGCCGCCTCCGAAGCCGGCGGTCGCGGCGACGGCGGTGGCCGGTGACCCGTTTTGAAAACGGCGCGAGGATTTCGTTGCATATTGTACAGCATTTCGCGCGTGGATCTTTGCGGGAACTGGGCCTGTGCGCCGTTGGATTGAGTCAAGCTCTCGGTTAAGATCGTCTAGCGACCAATGGGAATGGGGATCGAGTGCCACGTGGCCATCCATGCTCCTGCAGGTATTACCGACGGCCGCATGTGGCTCTAGACCCCTGATATTACGGCAGGAGCTACTGCATAGAGATACACATGTAGTATAGCAAGGATAAATTAGGGTTCGCCATTGTCCATTAGCCTTTGTCTGCTACAGTGACGTAGATGCTGACGGCCAAGTAGTGACTAACAATGGTCGGCTGCAATGCAATGTACAACTCGCCTAGAATCTAGCCCCGTTGCAATGTACGCTGACGATTCTAGCGACCGTTGGGCGGGATCGGTGCGCGATAGCCCATAACAAGGCGCATGCCATCGCGATGGCGAAACTATCCCCTTCACAGTCCACTCATATGCAAAACTATTGAGGATCTGTTGAAATTTCTATATATAACCAATATCACAATAACCTTGTGGGTAGGAGAAATAACCCTCCCTCTCCCTCAGCATCTCATAACCTTGTGAGATGTTGGGGAACCATTTCGGCAATTTCACAAAAAAAAAGCCACTCGTCAACTCACTGAACAGCCAGGCTCTTGCACTGTACAAAATCCATTTTGGCTTTGATAGAGTACATCAAGTGTCATAAGACAGAAGTGTTTTACCTTCTCTTCCCTTTTCTCCCTTTCCTGCCCCTCCTACTCCTCCCAAACTCCTCTTCTTCCTCTTCCACAATCAACTCTTCCAGATTCTTCCATTCATCTTCCCCTCTCAATCCTAATTCCTCACTTCCATTGCCCCTACCCTTTCCACCCAATATCCCATCCGACCTACCATCCAATCCCACTTTCCGAGAATCTCCAGGTGTTTTTCTAGAAGCAGCAGACGATGCCACCTGAGCTCCAGGTGGTCCACGGCTGAGATCAGGTGAATTTTCAGTTCTTCCAGGTGAGATTCTGTCATTTCCTGAAAGATTTTGTCCACCCTCAGATACGGGTGGATCCATGTCATCTGCTCCTCTCCTTGAACCCCAGGTGGCAGCTGACCTGGCACTAGCCCCTGCTGACCTGTCAGTGGGTTCTGGTGATCTGGCAGCAGCAGCGGTGAGGGAAGCTACTCCGGAGGAAAATTCCCTCCCCAGAATATCTGCTTCTGTGAAGAACCTTAGTCGTGAATCTGGACGGGTGGCAACGGCTCCTCGGAAACGCCTTGGGGTTCGATCACCAGCATCGGCACCACCACCGCCACTACCGCCACCATCACCACCGCCACCGCCACCACGACCATTACCCGCAGTTGCAGCAGCACTACCATTCCCACGGCCATTACTTGCAGCGGCATCCGCAGTGGCAGGAGAAGCCTGGGGGCCGCGCAGGGGGACAAGCATGAAGTTGAGTCCCAGCACCTGCGCGGCAAACTGCTCCTCGGGACAGCTCAGCAGATACACCAGCTCCCGCCGCCTCACATTCTGCTCCCTGCTGCTCGGCCTTGCAGAGGTGCTGCTGCTGCTGCTGCTGCTGCTGCTGCTGGTGCTGCTGCTGCTGCTGGTGCTGCTGCTGCTGCTGCTGCTGCTGGTGCTGCTGCTGGTGCTGCTGCTGGTGGTGGTGCTGCTGGTGGTGCCACGTGGCGGGCCGCGACTGGCCAGCACGCGGAGGCGGCGGCGGATGCGGGAGTCGAGGGAGTAGCTGAAGAGCTTGGGGAAGAGCACCAGGTCGGAGCGGGTTCGCGGATAGTAGCTGCTGCTCGTACTGGTGGCACTGCTGCTGGTGCTGCTGGTAGTGCTTGTACTGCCGTTGTTGGCATTGGGACTGCTGGTGCTGCTGGGACTGCTGGTGCTGCTGGTGCCGCTGGTGTTGCTGGTGCTTTCAACGCTCTTTTCCACCCCCTTTTCCTCCTCCTCGAGCCAGAAGTCCAGCTTCGGCCGAAGCACCGCGGCAACGCTGTAGCCCAGGAGCGGCGGGTACCGAACCACCATGCCTGCCACGTCAGCACGGGAGAAGCCTCGGGAGTAGAGGTAGGAGATCCTGACACGAGGAGAGATGGGGTTGGATGGAAAGAGAACAATGGGAGAGGAGAGATAAAGGAGAGGAATTGAGGAAGGCTCAACACGTGAGGGGTACAATTAGAGAAGGTAAGGAGCTTTAGGGAAGCAGCGCACAGCCCTACGGAGCAGGATGCTGACTTTCTGCGTGTGATGAGTCGATTTTTGAGTCGACTCAAATTAGGACCTCACGTTGGGGCCACACCTTGTTCCCCTGTGAGGAAGGCCGCCTTTCCACGCAGCACCGCGGGCGGGTGACAGGCAGAGCAGGCCACCAGGGAACCCCCCATGCTCACCTGTTCCTCATGCTTGCAACGCTCATGGTGAGCACTTCAGGGAAGCGGCACACCACGCGCGCCACCTCCTTTGCTGCCACCACTCCCACCTCCTTCGTGAGGAAAGCCGCCTTGCCTTGTAGCACCGCGGGCGACAGGCAGAGCAGGCCGGCAGTGATGACAGTGACACCCCGCATTTTCTCTCACAACATAGACAACCTGTGTTCAAGAGCCTCACCTTAGGGCCTCATGTTGAGGTCTCACCTGCTCCTCATGCTTGTGACACTCATGGTGAGCACTTCAGGGAAGCAGCACACCACGCGTGCCACCTCCTCTGCTGCCACCACACCCACCTCCCCCGTGAGGAAGGCTGCTTTGCCTTGCAGCACCGCAGGCGACAGGCAGAGCAGACCACCAGGGAACCCCCCATGCTCACCTGTTTCTCATACTTGTCACGCTCATTGTCAGCACTTCAGGGAAGCGGCACACCACTCGAGCCACCTCCTCTGCTGCCGTCACGCCCACCTCCCCTGTGAGGAAGGCTGCTTTGCCTTGCAGCACCGCAGGCGACAGGCAGAGCAGACCAGGGCAGCGGAAGATGAGATGAGCCAGCTCGTGGGAAGGGACGCTGAGGTTCTCCTGTAACCAGTCTAGGGACTGGAGGGAGGACGGGAGAGAGTAAGTGGTGGGAGAGGGCAGAGTGATTGGTGTGTGAGGAAGGCCGCCTTGCCTTGCAGCACGGCGGGCGACAGGCAGAGCAGGCCGGTGCAGCGGAATATGAGATGGGCTAGCTCGTGAGAAGGGACGCTGAGGTTCTCTTGTAGCCAGTCTAGGGACTGAGAAGGGAGTTGGGGAAAAGGGGTGGGGGAGAAGGGAAAGGGTAAGGGGGTGGGGGAGAGAAGAGCATTTGGTGTGTGAGGAAGGCCGTCTTGCCTTGCAGCACCGCGGGCGGGAGGCAGAGCAGGCGGGAGCAGCTGAAGATGAGGTGTGCTGGAGCAGCACAGCAGCGAGGGGCTGGCAGAGAGCACTGCACTCGCACCATGTGCAGCAGAGGCACGTGTTTGATCAAAGAATCTAACTGAGGTGAGCGCCATTCAGACACACCCACCACCCCCTTTGGTCTCAACAGACGCACCAACCCCCAATCCCTTTGATCAGACCCACCTCCCCCAGTTGGTGCCTGGGCCGGCACAGCAGTGATGGGCTGGCAGAGAGCACGAAGCACCATGTGGAGAAAGGCACTTGTGTGAGCGAACAACCACGTATGGCACTCATTTTGACTAACTGTGTGCCAAACACACCCACCCGTCCACAAACCCCTCAAACAGACCCACCTACAGACCCACCTCCCCCAGTTGGTGCCTGGGCCGGCACAGCAGTGACGGGCTGGCAGAGAGCACGCGCACCATCTCCCCGCGCGTCAGCCCCACGCCCTGTAGGAACACGCCAGCTGGCGCGATGCTGTTGGCCGGCGAGAGCGAGAGCAGCTCGGGGCAGCGCGTGAGCATGGGGTCGACCTTGCTGATTGGGACCTGTGTGGAGGGGGAGACGGGGAGGGGAGGAGGGGAAAGTGGGGTAGGGATGTTGGTGTATTGAGAACTGAGATGCGAGAGCAGCTCAGGGCAGCGCATGAGCATGGGGTCGACCTTGCTGATTGGGACCTGTGGGTGGGGGAATAAGGGAAGGAGGAAGGGAATTGAGGAGGTAGGGGAAAGGAAGTGAAGAGGTGGTGGGAAGGTGGGGAAGGAGGTAAGGAAGAGGTGGGCAGGAAGGTCTGAGAGGCAGGAAGGTCTGAGAGGCAGGAAGGTCTGAAAGGCTCAATTTCCGAATGGGTAAAAGAAGTTCGCTTTTTGGATGGTGAGAGAGGGTGCCTCACCATCCGAATGGGTAAAAGTCTTTTGAGGTGCCTCAAAAGTCATGTCGAATGGGTAAAGGAGCATTTTGAGCAACCTGGGCTAGTGCCGGCAGCAGCAGCACCAGCCGGCAGCAGCACAGGCGGACAGCAGCACAGGCGGACAGCAGCACAGGCGGACAGCAGCACAGGCGGACAGCAGCACAGGCGGACAGCACAGGGCAGCAGTACAGGTGCCTGGTGCCTCAATGCACCTTGAGAGTGTTGGTGATGGCATCGACGACCACCGGTGCGTTGAGGTAGACTGACGGGGAGAGCACTGGAGGGAAGCGGTTGATTATTAGTGGGAGGTCCCGCACGCGCACTCCCAGCTGTGACGGTAACGGGGATTGGATTGGAGGGAGCACAGAGGAGAGACGGTGGGTATGGGTGCGTCGAGGCAAAGTGGGGAGAAGCAGAGAGCACTGGAGGGAAGGGAAGCAAATGATTATTAGGGGCAGGTCCCGCACTGGCACTCCCAGCTGTGATGGCGAGGGGAAATTGAAAGCAGACAGCAAAAGAACTGGCAAAGGGGGACGAGTCAGAGGGCACTGGAGAAACAGTTGAGGAGGAAGAGAGGCAGGACTCTTGAGCAGTGAAAGTGAGGAAGGTAAATGAAGCAAAATCACCTGCTTGAGTTGCCGCTTGCATGCGACCATCTGCGACTCAATCTCCGCCTCCCACTCTGTCCTTGATGCCAGCTCTATGCCTGACACTGACTCTCTATCTGACACCCACTCGATCTCTGCTTCTAACGATTCTGCTCCTAATTCTCCTGCTAATGACTCTGATTCTGCTTCAAAAACGGCTGCCCGCTTCCTCTCCTCCCTCTCCCTTTTCCTCCCATTTCCTGTCCGACTGGCAGCAGCAGCACGGGACAAAGCGAGGCGTCGGGTGGGAGAAGGGCGAGGGGAGGAGGAGCGGGGGGGCACGTGGAGGGCGAGGGCAGGGTGGCAGAGGAGGAGGCGGTGCAGAGTGGGGCGGTTAACGCCCCAATGCAGGGCTAGGAAACGCAACACTGGCGGTAGCTGCTCCTGCTGCTGTTGCTCTTCGCCTCTCCTATTGCTGTTGCTGGTGCTGCCGCTGCTGCTAGTTTCTCCCCCCTCCTCTGCTTCTTCCGCCTCATCTGCCACCTCCTCTTCATCCGCATCATCACAACCGTCCGTTTCCGCTTCCCACGCCAGGAAATCCGGGAATCCAGCAACCAGAGCCGGCAATGCAGTGCGCGGGTCGTCCAATAACGCGACGCCACGTCGCTGCGCTGCCAGCTGGCGGAATCAGGACAGGGAGATGTGGGGTTGATTAGAGCAGGAGAGAAGAAAGAGAATGAAATGGAAAGGCTGGCGAAAGGTGCGTTGTTGGAGGGGGAAAGAGAGGAGGGACGGAGAAAGTTGAAGATAGAGGTAGGCGGAACCTTTCCTTAACACTTGAACACAGAACCTTGAACCTTATGGACACAGAAATTCCAAAACCCGAAACCTTGAAGAAGCAAATATACCACACACACACACACACACACACACACACACACACACACACACACACACACACACACACACACACACACCTTTTGGAAGAATCCCAGTGACTGCTGCAGCAGCACGTCATCATCCCTCGCGATCACTGCCAGCCGTCCGATCGCCCGCTCAATCAACGGCCCAACAGGCGCCACTCCGAACCCTCTCCCTTCCCCCTTTCCCCCACCACCATACCCCCTCTCCTCCTCTTCTCTCCCTCCCCTCTCACCCCTCTCCTCCTCCCCCCCTTCCCCTTCCCTTCTTTCGTCACCCCCACCAGCACTACCAGCACCAGCAGCCTCCCACAAGGAATCTCCTCGCCCCTCGCTCCTACCGCTCCTGCCACTGCTGGCTGGCGCGGCAGTGGCAGGGGTGGTGCTGCTAGTGCTAATTACAGGGCTGGTGCTATTGGTGCTAGTTACAGGGTTGCTGTTGCTGGTGGCAATGTTCCTGGTGGGGGTGTTGCTGGTGGGAGTGCTGCTGGTGGGGAGGCCGCTGGTGGGAGAACCGTGGGTGTCAGAAGTGGAACTTTCAAAGCGATTGCTGGCTTGGGTGGTCTTTACAGGGGCAGCGTTGAGAAGGCTGCTGAGAAGCAGAATCTTCTCCCACACTCTCCTGGCTCGCACCCCCCCACACACACGTGCCACCTGACGCGCTTTCCCCCACGCCACCCCGACACTATCCACCACCGCCGCCACCACCCACTCTGCTGCTTCCCCACGCCCTTCCCCCTCCATCCGCCCTTCCCCCTCGATCCGCCCTTCCCCCTCCATCCGCCTTCCCCCCTTCAACAGATCCACCAGCCGTAAAAACAGCTCCTCTTCCCCTTCTTCCCCCCCCTGTCCTTCCCCGTCCCACTCCTCTTCCCCCTCCTCCTCCCCCTGCCCCTCCACCTCCCCCTCCCCTTCCCCCTCCCCTTCCCCCTCCCCCTTCCCCTCCCCTACTCTCTCCCCCTCCTTTTCCCCGTCGCCCTCACACACGAATGCCCCCAATTCTTGCTCGCGATCTTCTCTTTCTTCCCGCGCGTCCCCCTCATCCCCGTCTAAACCCTCAACCCTGCCGAAGGGTTCGGGGTTGCCAGCGAACTGTTCTAATAATGAAGGGCGATCCACTACCGAAGCTTGACCAGCTCTGCCCCCCGTTCTGCCCTCTGTTCCACTCTTGGGTGTACCTTCAGGTGTGTTTTCAGGTGGATCTTCAGGTGTGCTTCTTGGGCTGAGCCCAGAGCGTCTGAGCTTCCTTTCAAGTTCAGCCGCACCCTGCTCGTCAGCATCTCGCTCTAACAAGAACTGAGCGAAACATGTTACACTTTTCGCCACAGCCTTCGCATGGTCTTCGCTAAACCCTTCGTCCTGCACCAAAACCACTGCCAGAGCCGCCCGCGCAATCTCTAACCTTCTCAGGCCAACCTCCCCCGATCCTTCCGCCGTCTCCTCAAGCCCTCCCCCTCCGCCAGCGCTCCCGCCAGAGCTTCCCCTCAGCCTTCCCCCGAATCTTTCCCCCGCCGTCTCCGCGGGTTCGTTCCCCCCCGCAGTGGCATCCGCTCGGACATGGCTCCTTGCGCGGGGATCAATAACACGGATCGCACGCGATCGTCTGTTTGTGCGAACATCTGCGACACTAGTTGCATGCGATCGCCAGCTTGTGCGACCAGCTGCGACAGGGATCGGTGCGGATCTGTGAGAATGATTAGTGAACGAATCGGGGAGCCCGCGTTGACCAGCGTTGAATTCAGCTGACCCTTGTGAGAGGGGAGACCACGAGCACGGGTGAACGGATCCTTGACCGCTGTTGACTGCCGTTGACCCTGTTTGACGGTTGGTCAACGCGAGAAGGAGAGGAGAGACGCAGGGCCTGGATTCGCGAGAACGAGGAGTCAAGGTGTGGGAGGGTCGTTGACTGCTGCTGACCGCCGTTGACGGGAGACGACACAGCAGCGACCGCAGAGCACAGTCCGATGCGTACATGGCAGGGCGAGCAAGTGGAACACGCGAGGTGACGTGACGGTGACAATGGCAATCAGATAAGGCGCTTTCTTCCTAACTTTGTATAAATCATTCTATTTTATTTTTGAAGACGTCCTGCTATAGCTCAGTTGGTAGAGCGGAGGACTGTAGTTGAGCAATCCTTAGGTCACTGGTTCGAATCCGGTTGGCGGGATCTTTTGCGCTCTGGCACCGTCCCCGTGCCTTTTGTTGCCCTCTCACTGTCACCAGTCCATTATTTCATGCGCTTCAGATCTCTCTCGCGTTGGCGAGAGATGCGGTGCGGTGACGGGTGTTTTCCCCAACGGCCTTCCATAGGAGTAGTATCCCCAAAGCCCCTTCTTTCTTTCTAGCCGCCACGATCCGTGCCCACTGAACGACATTCCGAGATTCAACGAAGTTTTGCGAAGTCTTGCGACACCTCATAAACACTTTGTGGATACCGCTCCTATCGATCGTCTCGGAATGGCTGCCCGCGTAGCACGGCGGGTGGGGAGGATCTCCGCCGTCGATCGCACGCCGTTCGTCTCCGCACTCCTTGCTGAAGCCTTCGCATGGCGTCGCACGTTTGTGTCGTCGCCAACATCGCCAATGTCGCAAGCTTCGTTAGCCTCGCCTTCGTCCTCCGAGATGGCAGCGTCAGTAGGGGGAAACGTGGCGCAAGCTGCTGGAGGATCAGCGCCAGCAGGGGGAAGCGCAGGGGGAAGCGGTGCGCAAGCGGTAGGGGAAGGCGGCACAAGGACAGCGGAAAGCAGCGCGCGATCAGGGGGGGACAATGCGCGGGTGGTAGGGAAAAGCGGCACACGAACGATCGGGGGGATCACGGCGCGCGCGGCGGAGGGAGGCGGCGCGCGCGCGACGGTGCGCGTGGTGCGCGCGGACGGGATGGACGTGGAGGCGCAGCTGCGGCTGGAGGAGAAGCTTCTCAGAAGCGACCCGACCAACAGCAACTGGTTCGTCTTCAATGCTGACGTGGCAGCACCGACCATCGTGATGGGGATTTCAGGGTGAGCCATTCTCTCGTCTCCTGTTGCCCTTTCAGGCGAACCAAAAGGCACCTCCTTTCCTGTCTTCTCCCAACTCCTCCCAACTCCTCCCAACTCCTCCCAACTCTTCCCATTCCTGATCTTGGATGTCCCACTAGATCTTAGATCTACACCTCTCCCTCTTCCCAGCTCCACTCCGCTTCCCCCTCGCCCCTTCCCCCTCAGCCCTCACCACCCCTTTTCCTGGAACGATTTCTTGATTATTCTTCTCCCTCATTCCCTCTTCCTCCCCCTTCCCTGCTCCTCTCTCTGCTCCTGCCCTCTTCTTTCCCCCCTCTTGCCCCTTCCTCCCCCCTCCTTCCCCACACCAGCAAGCCCCATGAGTTGCTTCACACCGAGGCTGTCCTCGAGGCTCGGGTGCCGGTGGTCCGCCGGTTCAGCGGTGGAGGTACGGTGGTACTGGACTCAGGCTCGGTGCTGACGAGCCTGATCTGCCGGCGCAGCGCGGTGCCGAACCTGCCTCTGTACCCGCGGCCAATAATGGAGTGGACGGAGGGGCTGCTGCAACCCGCAATGACGAATGTTCCGGGTTTTGCCTTGAGGGATAATGGTGAGAACCTTGGAGATGTCGCATAAGTCGTCCCATTATGGAAAGTGGACAGAGGGGCTGCTGCAACCAGCCATGGCAAATGTTCCGGGCTTTGCCCTTAGAGATAATGGTGAGAGGGGCAATGGTGTGTGTCAAAAGGTGACTTTTGAGTCAGGGCTCAGAGTCATAATGGAGTGGACGGAGGGGCTGCTGCAACCGGCTATGGCGAATGTTCCAGGCTTTGCCCTCAGGGATGATGGTGAGAAGGAGGGTGAGAGGGATGTGACAAGGAGGAGGCTTTGCCCTGACGCCTCAATGCGGCCCTTGCTTGAAAGAATATATGTATGTGAATCAAGCACATCGACATAGGGGCAAAACGAAAAACCACCGCCATGCCTCGTGCCCCAACCCTGCTCCCCCTTCAATGACGCCTTGCCACGTCATTGGACTATGTGCCCCGCCCCATGCCTCGATTCAATTTGCCCGTATCACGACCTCCCTGTACCATCACTGTGCCACGTCATCAGACTACGTGGTGGGAGATCTCAAGGTGGGCGGCAACGCACAGAGCATCACAGGCAGCAGCTTTCTGCACCACACGTCATTCCTCTGGGACTTCTGCTCGCACCGGATGGCACTGCTGCAGCAGCCCTCGCGTGCTCCTGAGTACAGAGAGGTGAGTGTGTGACATATCGTGTTTGATATGGGGTATGAATGGAATCTCAGTTCGACTACTCTTCTGTGCGACCAACAGTGCCTGGACCGAGAGAGTTTGGTGGCATGTGAGTGTGTGTGGTATGTCGTGTGACTGTATATGGTGAAGGGTGTGCTCAATTCATCTAGCCATTATCTGCTTATCATGGCGTTTGGACTTATCAAAAGCAGTATATTCTCGTCTAAAATCACTTCCTCTGGTCTCCTCCAATCTCTCTTTTTCAGGGCCGCTCCCATGATCAGTTTATCACCAAACTATGTCAATATTACTCGACAAAGGACGAATTTTTGAGATCTGTCCTGGTTGCTCTTGCTCTGCACTTCGATTTGCGGGCAACTGCTCTCCACCAAGTAGAGGCCTTGCCATTCCAGCCTTGGAAATCAGGTGTTGCTGTTCTTGCTCGGGATGAATTAACTATTGCTCCTAGTTTGTGACCTCGTACGTGGTAATTGATATATCGTTTTTCTTGGTTCGTTCACTGTAGGATCATCCTTGGTGCAGAAGATCCGTGCATTGTTCTTGTAACGAATCAAAACGAGATTGGCCAGACGCAACCCACAGTGAACCGCTTCCGCCTGCCCCTGCGGGGTTCGTCTCCCCCAGCGCGAGCTCCTGCGCAGAAGTATTTCCGCTCCCCCACCAGCGTGACGTTCATTTCGCTGCGGTTGCTGGCGCGGCCTTGGGAGAATGCCCGAATCAACGAATCCATCCTCACCATTTGTCAGGACGCGTCACAAGTAAAATATCGAGGAAGGATCAGGGTTGTTCACCGAACCTGTCAAACCGATCGCCATATCGGTGTGTCACGACTGCTTTGAAGTTTCAAGTGACACGGTCGTAAAAACACGGGGCAAAATTGCCCGATGTGGACGAAATTGCACGATCGTGTGTGACAGGGGCACATCGATCGCCTGACTTAGAAGGGAAAACTGTACGTTAGCGAAAATAAACGAAAATGTGTAACCACCTAAACACCGATTCTAGGCAGGATCGATGTTCTACTTGTGACGCGTCCTCAGTCCGTGCATCTTTTCGCCGTACGGTTCAACCTCAACGGGCAAAGAATCCCTTTCCATCCCGTCCCACAAGTGGCATTTGCCCTTCCCTAGATTTCACCAACAGCAGTGGAGCGCAGTGCAGCCAACTCTAGGGAATATCCGCTTCCCAGGACTGTTGAATGGCTGCGTGGAGCCCCATCTCCGCGAAAGCCACCTCTGCTGCCTGCTCCTCCTCGCTCGCTACGCTGTCAGGCTCCTCCAAGCGCTTATTTCGCGTTACTCCCGCCGCTCTTTGCGGGATTTCCAGTGGATCCTGTCCTGCGGTAGCTGGGAGTAGCCTCGGCTGTGATCTGCTTGGTGCTCAGCTCCCTGCGTCCCGCCAATCGCGGGGGACCGCGAATAAACGCATTTCTGCTCCGGGGTCGTTGACATTGTTCAGGTACTTTGCGAGTCGGTAACCGGAGTCGTCAGTAGCAATCAGGGCCTTTGATCCAATCCGTCAGTGATTAGATGCATCCTAGCCGTGCGTTCAACTTTGTGAGGCGTTGCCGTGCCCATGCGGAGCAACCTGATTCAATACATCCTGTCTGTTTTCGAGATCGTCATAGCTGTCAACTCTGTTGCCTATTATTATCGCATTCGCAATGCGAAGCCAGATGTCGTCGCCAATGTCGAATTGACTCTTCTCCGCAATTCTTCTTCCGTTTTCCCTGCTTACTAAGCAATCTATTATCCACCTCTGTTCCACCTGCTAGGAGCCATTATCATTCTTCTCGGCTCGTCGCCAAGGCTGCTGCCGCCATGAGCCCGCTGTCAGGTACTGTCGCAGGCCGATTATGTGCGAGCCTCGCAAAAGCGTTCGCGAAACAACCTGCTCCTGTTACCCTATACGTATCGCTGTTCCTCGCCGTGGGTGTCGTCATCGCGGTTGGAGGAGTCATGGTGTCCAATAGCGATGGGAGCAGCAGCAGCATCAGTGACCGTTGTCCGAGTTCCGACAAGCAATGTTCTGCGAACCGGGGGGGACTCCCGGCACTTGCTTCAGACGACCTGTTGCCATTCGGCAAGCAAGCCTTTTTCCGGCTCTCTCTTCCTTCTTGGCCCTCCTCTCTATGAACACTCCATCCCTCACTTACCCAGAACCATGCATCAGCCTACCAAGCTTCTCTTTTCGTACGCTTACTCTGCAGCGCACCAAAGAACCGCATAATTATCACCATCCCCGTTTGCTCCAACCTCCCGCGGTTTAATTAATCACAAACGATTCCGTTCCATCCAACTCTTCAATGTACCGGCATCAACCAATCACCCCTCCTTCCCCCTCACTTCTTCCACCTCCCTACGCAACCCCACCCCAACCCCCACTTTTTCCCAGGCACACCAGCGGCGAAGACCATAGTGCTGCCAGCCAAGGCAGGGAAGCACGCGGCCACTGTGGTGTGGCTGCACGGGCTGGGGGATACGGGATATGGATGGTCCGATCTCTGCGAGACGGTTAACCTCCCGCATGTATGTGAAATCAATTTGGAAATTTTTTAGAATGATCCATCCCAGTAAAGCTTTGGTGGTGTGGCTGCACGGGCTGGGGGATACTGGATACGGATGGTCCGATCTCTGCGAGACAGTTAATCTCGCACATGTATGTGAAATCACTTTATTATTGTGAAAAGTGAGTCCAGTATAGCAGTGGTGTGGCTGCACGGGCTGGGAATACAGGCTATGGATGGTCCAATCTCTGTGCGACAGACCTCACACATGGATGGGCATGCCGCACATGTATGTGTGGGCTGTCTCGCATGTATGTGTGGGCTGTCTCGCAAGTATGTGTGGGCTGTCTCGCATTCATGTGCACCCTTTGTTTCTGTGTACCCCTCTCCCATGCCTTCTCCTCGCCCCGCTTTTTCCGTCCTCTCTCCTGCTCTCGCCTTTCTTCAACTCACCAGCATCCCTTGCCGTGCCACCCTTGTCCTTGTTTCCTTGCTCCCTCGCATGCATTGCATGCAGAGGTGACTTCTGAGTCGACTTAAAAGTCAACTCACCAGCATCCCTTGCCACCCCTGTCCTTGTTTCCTTGCTCCCTCACATGCATTGCATGCAGATTAAGTGGATTCTCCCCAGCGCCCCCGTTGCCCCTGTCACAATCAACGGAGGCATGCCATGCCCCTCATGTGAGTATGGCCCCTCATGTGAGTATGGCTTTTCATGTCAGTATGGCCCCTCATGTGAGTATGCCCCCTCATGTGAGTATGGCTTCTCATGGGAGTATGCTCATCAAATAAGTACTCGTGGCATCTTACATCATCTTCCCTCATCTTGCCGCATTTTGCCTCATCTTGCCGCTGTTAGAAAATCTCCTCTCTTGTAACCTGCATATATGCTATAGGATAGGCTAGAGATAAGCACCCAAACTTAGTTTGGGTGTACAAGCAGGGGTTACCCAATTTGTAGGTTGGAAACCCAACCTTGGTCCAATTATTGGACCCCAAGGGTTGGGATGGGTAGAATTATTGGTCCCCTCCAATAATGTTGGCCCAACTCCAACTTGGCCAACATTATTGGACCCCACCAATAATCTCCCAACCCAACTCCTTGGTTGGGGTCCAATAATGTTCACCTAGGCTAGTTTCCAACTCATCTCCTATGTAAACCCCCCATCCTTTCAATCAATCCATCAACTTCTCTTCTACCTTTTCTTCTCACATGGTATAGAGCTCTTAAAAATCCTAGGCCTACGCTCCTAGTTTTTTTTCAAAGGCCGCCGCAACCCCCGGCCTCCTCTCTCATTTCTCCGCGGCTATCTCGCCACCCTCCCCCTCTCCTCAAGCACTCCCTTCCTCGCAGCCCCACGGCCTCCCACGCCATCACGGCTCGCGGCCCCACCGCCGCTTCCGCGCTCGCCTTGTCGCGGTCCCGCCGACCGCCACCGCCCGCCCCATCCCGCGGCCTCGACGCCGCCTCCGCGCCAACGCCACTGCGGCCGCCGTCGCCGCCGCCGCTCCCTTCCGCGGCCTCGACGCCGCCTCCGCGCCTGCACTGCCGCGGCTTCGCCAGCCGCCGCCGCTCGCGCCGCTCCCTCCCGCGACCCCGTCGTCACTTCCGCGCCAGCACTCCCGCGGCCTCGCCAGCCGCCGCCGCTCGCGCCGCTCCCTCCCGCGGCCTTGTCGCCGCTTCCGCGCCTGCACTGCCGCGGCCTCGCCAGCGCCGCAGCTCGCGCTGCTCCCTCTCGCGGCCTCGTCGCCGCCTCCGCGCCTGCACTGCCGCGGCTTCGCCAGCCGCCGCCGCTCGCGCCGCTCCCTCCCGCGACCCCGTCGCCGCTTCCGCGCCGGCACTCCCGCGGCTTCGCCAACCGCCGCCGCCCGCGCCTCTCCGCGGCCTCGTCGCCGCCTCCGCGCCAGCCGCCGCGGCCTCGCCAACCGCCGCCCGCGCCTCTCCGCGGCCTCGTCGCCGCCTCCGCGTCAGCCGCCGCGGCCTCGCCAGCCGCCGCCCGCGCCTCTCCGCGGCCTCGTCGCCGCCTCCGCGCCAGCCGCCGCGGCCTCGCCAGCCGCCGCCCGCGCCTCTCCGCGGCCTCGTCGCCGCCTCCGCGCCAGCCGCCGCGGCCTCGCCAGCCGCCGCCCGCGCCTTCCCCTCCAGCGGCCTCGACGCCGCCTCCCCGCCAGCACCGCCGCGGCCTCGCCAGCCGCCGCCGTCCGCGCCCCTCCGCGGCTTCAACGCCGCCTCCGTGCCAACCGCCGCGGCCTCGCCAGCCGCTGCTGCCCGCGCCACTCCCCTCCCCCCCCCCCCCCCCCCCCCCGGCCTCGTCGCAGTTGCTCCTCCGTGACCACTGCGGGTCCACCTGCAGCCGTCCATCATGGCTACTCCTACACCCTCCCCCTCCCCACTTCCTCCCCCTATTGATACGTCCTCCATTGATAAGCTCCAGCTCGCCGCGGACAAGTCCGCAGTCAACTGGCACTCCTTCGTCGGCAGCATCCGACGCGTTCTCTCCGACGCATGGGTTCCCCCCTACCGTGTCCTTGACGTCATCCTCCGCCGCCCCCATGCCCTCCCCCCCACCGAACCTCCCCACCCCGGCGAGACTCCTCCTCTTCCTCCTACTCCTGGCGACCCTCCTCGTGAACCCGATCTTCAGATCACCCCCGACCAAGCCACTGCGGACACTGATTTTATCCTACGCCGCCGTGAATACCTCATCCGCAAAGCCGAGTACGATGCTGCAGTTGAGGCCTATGATCAGGCGGTTGCTGGTCGCGACGCTCACCTCGAGGTCGTCGCCAAATACAAGGTCGACATGGCTGACTTCACCCCCAGACTCATCGCCTGGACAGCTGCTGACACCCGTGCCTGCACCGTTCTCCTTGGAGCTCTCCCTGACTCCCTCATGCGTCGCTTCCAGGCTCGGGAACTCCGTGCCTCGGTCATCTGGGCAGAACTCCATGCCATGTTTGAGCGCCGCGACATCAGCTCCGTCGGCATCCTCTTCCAAGAGTATTTTTCCATCACCCTCGCCACCTGTGACGGAGCAGTCGACTACGTCGGACGCATGCGCGAGGTAGCTGATCGCCTCGAAGCCCGCCAGGCCGGCCTCTCCGAACCTCTTCAAATCCACCGCCTCCTCTTTAACCTCACCCCAGACTACGAATCCCGCCTCCACGCCTTTACCGAAGCCAATCCCATGGCCGGTCTCGCCTCCGTTGAACAGTGGATTATCGACACCGAAGTTAAACTCCGTACACCCATCGTCAACCTCGCCTCCTCCCAACCCACCTCCTCCTCCCTCAACGCTACCCAGCCTCGCAAGCAGGGAAAGAACAACGGCAAAGGAGGAGGTGGGGGCAAGGGAGGTGGTGGTTCGGGAAGCAGCAACAACCGTGGTGGCACCACTGGGGATGAGCACGGCACCACCACTTCGGGTGGACCCACTGCAAGTCGCGGGAGTCGCCCTGGCACGCTTCCTCCCTGCACCTATGTCCGCCGCTATGGTCCTCGGGCTGGAACTCCCTGCGGACAGACCAACCATCCCCCTGGCACGTGCTTCAAGGCTCTCGACGATGCCTGGTACGCGCGGGGTAACGTTGGCACTCCTCCAAAGTGGGGCAACATCTCCCCACGCCCCTCCCCCACCGATATCCAAACCAATCCAGCCTACCTCCCAGCCCACCTCCGCCTCCTTGCTCCCCCCACACCCTTCCTCAACCTCCAGCAGCAGCACCTCCAGCAGCAGCACCTCCAGCAGCAGCAGCAGCAGCAGCAGCAGCAGCAGCAGCAGCAGCAGCAGCAGCTGCTGCAGCAGCAGCAGTTACAGCAGCTGTTTCACCCTCAGCCGCAGCAGCAGCAGCAGCCACAGCCGCCGCAGCACCCATGGGGGTCAGGACCCCAGCCACAGTGGGGACCCAGCCCTCCTCCCTGGCCGCAGCAGCAGTTGAACTTTGGCACAGCAGCCATGGCCGCTCAAGCCTCACCTGCCCCCCTTTGGGGTGCCCCACCCCCCCCCAGTAGCACTGCCACCCCTCTCACTCACGAGAGCTTCCTTGGCAACATAGCTATTTCGCCCTCTCTTCCTTCCATGTACCCATCCAACATTAATGAAACCACTTTCCAGTACTCAGTGTCTTCCTCCTCCTCCTCACCCACTCTGGACTTTGTCCTTGACAGTGGGGCCACTGAGACCGCCCTCAAAGACGCTGGTACACTCACACCCCTCTCCCCTCCCACTCAAGTTCACGGTGCTGACAGCAGCTTCACCATCCCATGCACACACCTCTCCACTCTCCCCTGTTCACTCTTCCCCTCTGGCAAGGTAACTGGTCTCCACATCCCCACTCTCCGAAACAACCTCCTCTCCCACCGTGAAATCCAAGGTGCAGGTATCACTGCCGTCTATCCTGGTAATGCCACCTACTGTGACCTTTACCACACTGCCTCCGGCCGCTTCCTCCTCCGCATACCCCTCTGCCCTCGCACTCGCCTCTACACTCTCCGCACTCCGTGGCCATCCTCCTGCCATGTTACCACTCGTGCGGGTACCTCCACCAGCCCTCCCCATCTCCCTCCCTCTCCTCCCACTCCGTCTCCTCCCCACTCCTCCATCCCTTCCTCACTCATTCCAATCCCCTCCACCTCCGACCATCTCTCCCACCCCGCTGTTCTCCTACATCACCGACTCGGCCATCCGAATTTTGCCGCTCTCCGCACTGCCGTCACCTCACGACTTCTTCACAGCCTCCCTCCAACTCTTCCTCCCCTTCCCTCCTCCCCAGCCCCCCCATGCCCCTCCTGCATCCACGGCAAACTCAAACAATCTCCTCACCACAGCCACCCATCCTTCGCTCCTGCACCCATTGACCTTGTCCATATGGACCTCTGGGGGCCCTCTCCCACCCGCTCACGCCAAGGCCATCGCTACATGTTGGTTCTTGTTGACGATCACAGCCGCTACTCCTCCATTTTCCTCCTCCACACCAAAGACCAGGCGCCGACCATTATCATTAACTGGGCAGAGCAATGCCGCACCCACTTCAAACGTCCCATCGGCCGCCTCCACTCTGATGGGGGAGGCGAATTCCTCAACCGCACTCTCTCTCACTACTGCGCCACCCATGGCATCCAACAGACCCACACTCTTCCCCACTCCCCACAGCAGAACGGCGTTGCAGAAAGCCGCATTCGCGAAATCACTAAGATCGCCCGCTGTCTCCTTGCTCACGCCTCCACCCCTCCCTCTCTCTGGGGCTATGCCCTCCTCCATGCTGCCCTCCTCCTCAACCTTCACTCCCATCCCCAACACACTGCCGCTACCCCCACGGAGCTCTGGTCAGGAACCAAACCTGACGCTGCCGGTCTCCGTGTCTGGGGTTGCAAGGCATATGTGCTTATTCCTCCACCCGACCGCACCCAAGGCAAGCTCGCTCCTCGCCTGGTTACCTCTTCCTTCACCCTCCCTCTGGTCGCCTCATCCGCAGCATTGACGTTGTGTTCGATGAGACCACCCCGTACTACTCCTCCCCACCACCAGACCCCCTCCCTCCTCCCGCACGTCCTCTCGCTTGGGCCGACACCGTCCTCCCTCCCCTCCTCCCTCCGGCACCTCTTCTCCCACCCCTCCCCACCCCGCTTCCGCCACCTTCATCCGCCGACGTCTACGATCCCACTGCTCCTGCCTCCCCCGCACACTCCACGGCTCCCCCTCCCCCCTCCCCTTCCCACTCCCCTCCTCATCCATCACAGCAGCAGCAGCAGCAGCAGCAGCAGCAGCAGCAGCGCGGCGGCGGCGGCGGCGGCGGCGGCGGCGGCGGCGGCGGCGGCGGCGGCGGCAGCAGCAGCAGCAGCCGCAGCAGCAGCAAGGGCAGCACCAGCAGCGGCAGCAGCAGCAGCCGCAGCAGCCACAACAGCAACAGCAGCCGCAGCAGCAGCAGCAGGGGCAGCAGCCGCAGCAGCAGCAGGGGTTCCAGCAGCACCAGCAGCAGCAGCGGCGCAGGGCAATTGCCCGCTCCTCACCCTTCCTCCTCCCTCGCATGCACACCCGCTCCCTTGACCCCATCCTTGGTGCACCGTCTCCTCCCTCCCTCAACCAACTGGAGGACTCCCATGAGGAGTTCACCATGGTCCGGCGCCACACTCCCTCTCTCACAGTACTTTCCCCTGACCTCCTCGGCGCCCTACTCCTTAGCGCGATCCCCGCTCCCACCATCTTCGTCCCCTCCACTTTCCAAGAGGCTATCACCTGCCCTGACGCCGATAAGTGGATAGCCGCCATCTTTCAGGAATGTGAAGCATTCATCCACAATAACTCCTTCATTGACGTTCCCCTCCCTCCTGACGCCAACCTGGTTGAGGGCAAGTGGATCTTTCGAGTCAAGCAGCTGCCGGGAGAAGAACCAGTCTACAAAGCCCGCTACGTTGCCAAGGGGTTCACCCAGACCTGGGCTGAGGACTACTGGTTCACGTTCGCCCCCACCGTCAAGCAGGCCACCCTACGCACCCTTCTTGACATCGGTGCAAGAGACGACATGGAGATTGACTCCATGGACGTCTCCAACGCTTTCCTGCAAGGTGAACTGCACGAACGCATCTTTCTCCGCCGACCTCCCGGGTTCCATGCTAAGTTCCCCGACAACACCGTCTGGCAGCTGAAGCGACCGGTCTATGGCCTGAAGCAGGCACCACGAGAATGGCATGCGAAGCTATCTGCTACTCTCCAGTCCCTTGGCTTCTCCCCCTCCCACTCCGACGCCAGCCTCTTCATCCGCTCTTCCCCCAGTCGCTTTTTCATCTCGGTCTACGTTGACGACATGATCCTGCTGGCGGATTCCAGGGCCGACATGGACCAGATGAAGCGGTCACTTCAGGAACGACTCAAGTGCAAGGACCTTGGTCCCCTCCAGAACTACCTCGGCATGGCTATCACCCGTGATCGATCCGCCCGCACCATCACTCTCTCCCAGTCCCACTACATCGGCCAGGTCCTGGAGAGGTTTGAGATGGCGCAGGCCAAACCAGTCTCCACCCCCCTCCCCTTCGGTCACCAACTTGCGCCACCCACCTCCCCCTCCTCCTCCTCCCGGCCCTACGCCGAGCTCGTTGGGTCGCTGATGTACGCGATGATGTGCACCCGCCCCGACCTCGCCTACCCTGTCAGCGTCCTTGCTCGGTTCGTCGGCTCTGGCCGTCACACTGAGGAACACTGGGCTGCCGCCAAGCGGGTCCTTCGCTATCTCTGCGGCACCAAGGATCACGCTCTCACACTGGGTGGATCCTCCCCTCCCCTTCTCTCGGGCTTCAGTGACTCCTCCTGGGCAGACAATCAGCCAGACCGCCGCTCCTCCCAAGGCTATGGCTTTACCCTCGGCAGCGGACTTATCAGCTGGCGTTCCACCCGCTCCTCCGCCATCGCTCTCTCTTCCTGCGAAGCTGAGCTCTATGCGGGCACCATGGCCGCTCAAGAGTCCCGCTGGCTCTGCTTTCTTCTGGCAGAGCTTGGTGCCCCCCAGCGCTGTCCCACGCTCTGGTGTGACAACGCCAGCACCATCCACCTCACCCAGGATCCAGTCTTTCATGGTCGCTCCAAGCATATCGAGCTCCGTTATTTCTTCATCCGCGACCTCGTCCGACAGAATCTTATCGCCGTCCGCAAGATCGCCACTGAAGCCAATTTGGCGGATATCTTCACCAAAGCACTTCTTCGCCCCGCGCACTCTGCTCTCCTCCGCCTCATTGGCCTCGCTCCTCCAGGAGCGCCTTGATTCAGGGGTTGCTGCTCTCCAGCCTTTCCGCATCTCTGCAGGTTAAGGGGTTGTGTTAGAATATCTCCTCTCTTGTAACCTGCATATATGCTATAGGATAGGCTAGAGATAAGCACCCAAACTTAGTTTGGGTGTACAAGCAGGGGTTACCCAATTTGTAGGTTGGAAACCCAACCTTGGTCCAATTATTGGACCCCAAGGGTTGGGATGGGTAGAATTATTGGTCCCCTCCAATAATGTTGGCCCAACTCCAACTTGGCCAACATTATTGGACCCCACCAATAATCTCCCAACCCAACTCCTTGGTTGGGGTCCAATAATGTTCACCTAGGCTAGTTTCCAACTCATCTCCTATGTAAACCCCCCATCCTTTCAATCAATCCATCAACTTCTCTTCTACCTTTTCTTCTCACAGCCGCATCTTGCAATCTTGCCTCATCAGGCTCATTTCGCCTCATCACCTCTCCCCTCATATTGCTTTGCCACCCTCTTCCCAACCACCACCCTCGACCCACCAGGGTTTGACCTGTTTGGCCTGGACGCGAGTGCACAGGACGACGTGAAGGGCATTGATGCTGCTGCCAGATACGTGGCCGGGATTCTGGAGGAGGAGAAGCGAGCCAACCCAGGTGGGTGGAGTGCGGTGCTGATCGATTGACAACGAAAAAAATCAGGTGTTTAGGGCATTAATGCAGCTGTGGAATGTGTGGTTGAAACTCTGTAGGATAGGTGCGCCCTTCAAAACGAACCCTTTTTTTCCCTGCCCTCCCGCCCTCACCAGACGTGAAGTTTGCAGTGGGAGGGTTCAGCCAAGGGGGCGCTCTCTCCCTCTACCTCATGTCCCGAAAGGTTCTGGGGAAGTTTGAGGATGGTTCCGATGCCTCCTCCGTGCCGCTCCACGCCTCTGTTGCTTTCAGCGGCTGGCTGCCCAAGTGCAGGTGGGTGGGGTATGCGAAAGGTGGGGTGGTGTATGGGCAAGGTGGGGTGGGGTATGGGCAAGGTGGGGTGGGGTATGGGCAAGGTGGCGTGGGGTATGGACAAGGTGGGAGTATCTGGGGCAAGAAAGAGCTTGGGAAGGGTGGAGGGCTTGGGAAATGTGGGAGCCTCGCCTATGCTGCTCCACTCCTCTGTTGCCTTCAGCGGCTGGCTTCCCGAGTGCAGGTGTGTGTGGCACGGGGAAGGTGGGGTGTGGGGAAGGTAGGATATGGGAGAGGCTGCCGCCTGCATCTGGTCTGGGGAGAGGTGGCTTGGGAAAGGTGGACGGTTTGGACGATCTGCTAGCCACATTCATGCCTCGGTTGCATTGAGTACATGGTTGGCCAAGTGCAGGTGGTTATGTGATTGGGAAGATAGAGTGGCGTGGAGAAGTACAGAGCGGTCTAAGAATCCTCTGGGAAGGTACAGAGAGGTGAAATTTGGTGGGATTTGGGGAGGGTGAAATACGGCTGCTCAAGTGCAGGGTTGGGGAAAGTGGGACTGGGGAGATGACTGGCTTGGTCTGCTTCCCTTTCTTCTTCTGTACCTTTCCTGGAAGGAGAAATTCTGGGTTAGGGCTGCTACTGCTACGGCTGTCAGCTTCAAACCTCTCTTACGAACTACCCCACCACCCGTTTCCCTTCTACCCCTCCCCTTTCTGCCTGTCAAGCAGTCTGAAGCCCGGAGGCAGTGCTGCAGTGGGGGATGCATCTGTGGCAGAGAAGGCCGCCGCCCACCCTTTGCTCATGGCGCATGGGGAAGGTAGGCTGGTGGGGTGGTGGCTTGGGGGGTAGTCTGTTTAATTGGCACCGCAGAAAAAACCCAAGGCAGTGCAGCAGCGGGAGATGCGTCAGTGGCGGGAAGGCCGCCGCCCATTCTCTGCTCATGGCGCATGGGGAATGTAGGCTGGTGGGGTGGTGGCTTGGGGGGTAGTCTGTTTAATTGGCACCGCAGAAAAAACCCAAGGCAGTGCAGCAGCGGGAGATGCGTCAGTGGCGGGGAAGGCCGCCGCCCATCCTCTGCTCATGGCGCATGGGGAAGGTAGGCTGGTGGGGTGGTGGCTTGGGGGGTAGTCTGTTTAATTGGCACCGCAGAAAAAACCCAAGGCAGTGCAGCAGCGGGAGATGCGTCAGTGGCGGGGAAGGCCGCCGCCCATCCTCTGCTCATGGCGCATGGGGAAGGTAGGCTGGTGGGGTGGTGGCTTGGGGGGTAGTCTGTTTAATTGGCACCGCAGAAAAAACCCAAGGCAGTGCAGCAGCGGGAGATGCGTCAGTGGCGGGGAAGGCCGCCGCCCATCCTCTGCTCATGGCGCATGGGGAAGGTAGGCTGGTGGGGTGGTGGCGCTCGGGGGGGAGTTGTGGGGAAAAGGGGGGATGGGAGGGTTTGGGGGGAAATGGGAAAAAGGGGGGATGGGAGGGTTTGGGCTGAAATGGGGAAAAGTGGGGATGGGAGGGGTTGGGCTGAAATGGGGAAAAGGGGGGATCGGAGGGTTTGTGGGTAGATGGGGAAAAGAGCGGATGGGAAAATGGAGGTGTCAGGGGAGGGCGTAGAAAGGTGGAAAATGGGGGAAGAGGGGGGAAGGGGTTGATGGGTGGCATTGGCTCAGCTGCGATCGTTGCAACGATCAGCCTGGTCCCGGTCGCCTTTGACAAGGGCTTGGCTCAGATGCTGCAGTGAGGTTCATCAATGCATGATTGGTGTAGTTCGCCTTTGGAAAGGTTGCGGCTCAGGTGCTCCAGGAAGTCGCATGCAGATCAGTGATCGATTCCTGAAATATTCCCCCCCTCCCCCCCCCCCCCCCCTCTCATCCCGCACCCACACATGCTCATGCTCTCCCGTCCTATGTATCCGTTTTCATGCAGCTGACAGCCTGGTGCCCTTCGCATTTGGCAAGGGGTCGGCTCAGGTGCTACAGGAAGCAGGGTTCTCCAACCTGACCTTCAAGTCGTACCGAGGGTGGGTCATCGCCTGTCATGGGAGGGGGTCCCCTTGGACAAGTGTGCATTTTTCCTTGCCCCGTGTGACTTCAGCTTGTTCCAAATGATTTCTACACACGGTAGCTCACATGGTTCACCGCCAGCTGCAGATATCCTTTGGGTCACGTACTCCACAGCTCTTTATCACAGCTTCTGCCTACATAGTGGCACACGAAGTGTCTCATTGGCTGTCACATGCATCCATACTAGGTCATCTTGAGCTTTTATATCCGGTCCTGTTTCTACCTCCCCCACCCCCCCCCCCCCCACCCCACCACCCCCACCCCCACCCCACCCTCTCCCCCACCCACCCCACAGCATGGCCCACTCTGCTTGTCCCGAAGAGCTGGCGGATCTCAAAGCCTGGCTGCAAAAGAACGTGCCACCACCCTCTTAAAATCTCACCTTCAACATTGCATGTCAAGGTGCCCCCAAGTTACTCGCAATTCTGTGGCTCTTGTAAGACATGCAAGAAAATATATCTGGTAGCATTCTGTGTATGTCTGCGGATTGCTAGAGCTATACTCATTTTCCTCATTATTTTCCTCAATGAACTGATATCAACCGTTAGTGACGGTGGAAGACCCTGTGCAACGTCGCATGATCGACCGCGTGCGAAGGCATTCCTCCTGCGATACGACTGGCTGATAGAATTTCGCCTTCACTCGCGAAACAGTTGGTCCGCAAATACTCGACAACAGCGCCTCTCGTTTCAGGCAAATGTTTCATTCCATGGTTGCGAAGTTGAAAGAATATTCGAGTCAAAATTGTGTCCGCGTGAAACACGCCCCGACCCAACCACACCCGGTCAATCCCTTCTCGGCATTTCAAGCCACTCATTATAGCTTGCGTGTGACATGGGCGTTTGGAATTGGTTGTGTCACAAAGTTACAACCAATCACAATGTCAAAATGTGGATGTGATTTTTTTGCATACATGCGAGACCAATCAGAAGAGTTGCTTGATGGGTTCTGGAACCTGGTCCGAGCTGGTCCGTGAAATTCAGCCCTGATATCCCAGGCTCCGTATCCCAGCCTCCTTCAGCTGACAGATTCCTTTATCGCCCCTATCAGCTCCCATTTCCTATCTCCTTCGTTCACCGCAATTCACACGCGTCTTCTCCCTGATTTCTGCCTTGGGTCCAAACTTCGACGGCTGTTTAAATCCTTTCGTGGATTGCGGAAACAGTCCAACATTTTCTCCCTAATTTTCCTCGTTCTCGTTCGAGGCCTCGCGTGTCCTTCTTGATTGAGCCATATTCCGTCCGAAATTACTCTCCCTAAGAAAATGAAGAACTTTTTTCGGAGAATTTTTGGCATTCGCAACGGCCGTGCTCCTGCAGGGACGGCAGAACCACCAGCACTGCTGGCACCAGCAGAAGCAGAACCAGCAGCAAACTTAGCTGGAGCTGGAGCTGGAGCAGGAGCAGCAGCTGCAGCTGCAGCAGCAACGGATCAAGCGCCATACAGTAAGGATCGGTCCAACAATAGCCCACCACCACTTACCAATCACTAGCAAGCTCTGCATTGCGACCTACAGTTATGCTGTCATGCTGCATGCTACCATGCTGTCATGCTGCATGCTGTCATGCAGTCATGCTATGCCAAACGCCCCTTCTTCTCGCGCTCCCCCTTCACCCACGCCCGCAGGCACACGAGCGGGCCCGACCAAAGTGGTGGAAGCGCAGGAAGGGCAGCACACGGCCACGGTGGTGTGGCTGCACGGGCTGGGCGACAGCGGCAATGGCATCTCCAACTGGCTGAATGGGGTGTGGGAGTCTGTGGGTGAACCTGGCGGCGGCCATTTACTCGACCTCCCACACGTACGTAGAGCAACTGAATGTTGAGTTGGCCATTTACCGGTTATGGGTGCTTGCATTGGCTGCACGGGCTGGGCGACAGCGGCAATGGCATCTCGAATTGGCTGAATATGGTGTGGGAGTCTGTGGGTGAACAAGGCCGCAGCCATTTACTCGACCTCCCACACGTACGGTTATGGGTGCTTGCATTGGCTGCATGGGTGGGATCGGGTGGGGTGCGGTGAGATGGCGTGTGGAATACTGAGAGCTGGCGTGAGAGTGCGTAAAACTTTTAGTCGGTTGACACCCAGCCACCGATCCTATACGGCGGCTACGTGTGTCTGTTGCTGTTGGAAAAAAGAGTGAGTGGCATAGAAAAAAGAGTGAGTGGCGTAGAAAAAAGAGTGAGTGAGTGGCATATTTGGACTAGACCTCCCTCCTGTATGTGCAACTGGCTGTCGAGTCAGCACAGGCGATGGGTGCTTGCAATGCCTGCCTGGGGTGGCTGGGGTTGGGTGGGGGGAGTACCTGAGAACGGGGGCTTTTTACTCGACCTCCCTGTGTTGTAGGTTGATTTTGTGAATTCTGTGTGTGTGTGTGTGTGGTGTGTGTGTGTGTGCGCGCGCGCGCGTGCGCGTGCGCGTGCGCGTGTGCGTGCGCGTGTGCGTGTGCGTGTGCGTGTGCGTGTGCGTGTGCGTGTGCGTGTGCGTGCGCGTGGGCGTGCGCGTGGGCGTGCGCGTGGGCGTGTGCGTGGGTGTGCGCGTGGGTGTGCGCGTGGGTGTGCGCGTGGGTGTACGCGTGGGTGTGCGCGTGGGTGTGCGCGTGGGTGTGCGCGTGGGTGTGCGCGTGGGTGTGCGCGTGGGTGTGCGCGTGGGTGTGCGCGTGGGTGTGCGCGTGGGTGTGCGCGTGTGTGTGCGCGTGTGTGTGCGCGTGTGTGTGCGCGTGTGTGTGCGCGTGTGTGTGCGCGTGTGTGTGCGCGTGTGTGTGCGCGTGTGTGTGCGCGTGTGTGTGCGCGTGTGTGTGCGCGTGTGTGTGCGCGTGTGTGTGCGCGTGTGTGTGCGCGTGTGTGTGCGCGTGTGTGTGCGCGTGTGTGTGCGCGTGTGTGTGCGCGTGTGTGTGCGCGTGTGTGTGCGCGTGTGTGTGCGCGTGTGTGTGCGCGTGTGTGTGCGCGTGTGTGTGCGCGTGTGTGTGCGCGTGTGTGTGCGCGTGTGTGTGCGCGTGTGTGTGCGCGTGTGTGTGCGCGTGTGTGTGCGCGTGTGTGTGCGCGTGTGTGTGCGCGTGTGTGTGCGCGTGTGTGTGCGTGCGTGCGTGCGTGCGTGCGTGCGTGCGTGCGTGTGTGTGTGTGTG